TGAACGCACATCAATTTAAATAAAATCGCCGCGGCTGACGTAATTTTTTTGTATTTTTCTTTCCTGGAGATGAGGAAACTGCAAAGGAACCAAGCATCCAGCGCGCAAAAGTAGAGGGGGTGCGAGTGAGTAATTAAGTCTCGGACTACCGTGAATTTTCGACGACCTGGTCAGTCCACGATCAGGCTTCCGCGGTTTGTTGTGAAACGGGGGGTTTCAGTGTTGTCGTTTGGATCTGATTCTTCTTACTCCTCCGCTATATTTAGGTAAAATCATTTAATGTTTTATTTTATGATCTAAATTCAATTGTGATTTTTATTTTATGTCCTATTAAATTTTTTTATCATAATCGTAAAGGAGACACACAGATAAAAAATAATTTCAGTGATTCCTCGATTTTTGATGATATTAATTTGATCCCCAGAAAATCTAGTAATCAGCATTAGCCAGTTGAAAGAAGAAAAAATAAATAAAAAAAATAGTGACCATTACTAGATGTTTGTTGATGTTAATCACGCATGTATAAGGTTACGTTTACCATTCGCGTTACGCATTCATTTTTAGAAATATAGCACAGGCTATTATATTTCCTGACTGATGAAACCCCTACTCTATGAAAATTATTTCACGATAGATACCGGGGGAACGGTGATGTTGCCAATTAAATTTGATTGCTTTCAAATATGCGTGACAAATTAATTGAAAGGGAATAACTTATCGTTGAGTATGTTTTTTTGTGATCCTGCATAAACTCATGCACATAAAATGTAAGAAATTATCATCACCAAGATTAATGGACCACAAAATATACTTGCGAGTGACGCGCAACCAACAAGTAAACATTGTCCTGTCGGTTACGTAACCCTCGTGACATTTTTATGTATTTCCTGCAGAAATTTATGGAGAATCACAAACATAAGTAATTTAAAACAATACGCGTGTATTTTTTTTTAATTGATTCTCTCTGCATCTTTGAAAGCTAACATTCCGGTTATCGTGAGATCACCCATAAATGGTTAACAGTTCCATTTTTGCTTTGTATTTTTTATACTCAGAAGAGTTTTCTTGGATGAAATTAATTTTTTTTTGTTAAATCAACCCCTTACATTCCTCACTCAGGACAAAATGTTTCGCACATCAAATCGTCATAGGGATTCTCGTTTTGGCTTAAAGCATTTCATTCCAAAAAATAATCGACAACATTTATGCTCTTCCGTTGAGGAACTCCTTAAGCCTCTAATTGGGATAAATAATAAACCTCTTCAAGCTGTAATGAAGCTTACTGTGTTTTATCTTCCGAGCAAAAATATTTTACTTTTTTTAGAGGGAGATTAAAAAGTTAACTCTTCCCGGTTTTACAAGATGTTTTGAGGGATTCAAGTCTTACGCGCATGCGTGCGTCACGTACGTTCGTTATGTATGGCAAGGTGGACACTGGACAGTGGGGACAATCTATAAAAAAGACGCGTCATTAATGGACGCCTTTTCAGGAAAATCCAAACAATCAGAAAATAATCACTGACGCACTGTGAAAAAAATCAATTTGTCTGAATCCTGTGTATTTTTAGGTTTGCAACGTCAAAAAAAAACATTTTTTCTGGTGAGTATACTATGCAAAGGCATGATAAAAAATTATAAGATGTTTGTAATTGCCGCTATATGCCTTTAAACGTTGCATTCAAAACGCTAAAGAGGCGAGTCTCAAAAATTTTCGCCTTAACCAAAAACGCTTAGCGAAAGCACTAAAATTTATCCGATTTCGCTCTTTGGGGATCAGTGGCATGGCGTGAATTGCGTGTTATCGATTTTCATGCTATTTAAACCTGTGGTAAAGAATCGATTATTATGGTGTTCCCTGCGAACACCCTGTTTATCGATCCTTTTTCGTAGTTTCAAATGGAAGAACAATCGGTTTATTGCAATTTACGCCACGCCACTGTTAGGGATGTTAAATGTTTAACATGATGACACAATAAAAGCATCAAATATCGATGATCCGAGAAATTTTTTTGGGTGGTTCAAATTTGCGACACCCTATTGTGTAATGACGAAAAAATAACTATATATAGATAAATTTCAACGCTAAGTGTCCACACTCGTTATTAATGGCTACATGTCCCTCGAAATAAACGATGAATGACGTCATCCATCGCAGTAGCCCAAGGATTGTGGCTCGATAGTTTCACCGTCAATTGGCAAAATTTTGACTTTTTGATCAATTTTTAAAAGTGCCATAATTTAATGGAGCCCTATACTCCCAGTCACCTCATGAATCTGTTTTTTTATACAATAACGTTTCTATAATTTTTAAATTGCGCTATTTAAAGCTTGTTTCACATGTCAAAATCAATATGCTAACAATAAAGCAACATAGAGGCGCCGAATTCTCTCAGACAGTCAAATAATTTAGAACATCAGACGGCTGATAAAAATCAGTATGCATATAGGAACGCGCGTGCACAGACTCCCTTAGGTGACCTTTGTCCTTGACTGGAATCGCCGGTAAATATTTACCCACGGTCACTAACTCTTTCCGATTTTTGTTATCTGAATTTGCGTAGAAAATTAGCATGGGAATTGGAGGTAGCCATCTATCTAAGTTTTATAGCCTCAAGCGTTGCGAGGTTGTCAAATGTATCACCTTTTTTATCGCATCATTAGGAGATTCTAATATGGAACTATTATAGGAAGACAGCAGTATGTGCAAAAAATGGGGTTTTCAAATTTCCAAACATAGAATAGAAATTGTATACATATTTTAAGAGGTTTTTTGGAAATGCATCGTAACTTCGTCGTTGTAATATGATTTACACAATCATCTGGAGGGAATTTCGTCTTTCTTACCGAGCAAAAAGTACTCCCTAAATAATTGAGAATTTTATATAATCGTGTTTTAGAATTGCGTTGTACAATAAAAACGGCGGGTTGATTGAACTCACTCACTCCCGAAACGCTGTATCAAACAACACCTCAAACCGGTGTGACTACTTTTACCTGAAAAATTTGCCGTACAAGAGGAAATAAGGACATAAACAAGACAGATATAGGTACCCTGAGAGCCACAATCTTATTCCTAACCTTGACATTCAATAAAGACTTCTTCCTCAATAAATGCAAATCAACGATGAGAAACTCGATTTCTATGTCATGTATATATTTTATATTCATATTTTGTCCATCATTGACGATTTTCATGCCTGAGAGAGGTCTCTTTAAGAAAGAAGGAGGTGGAGGTGGAGGAGGAGAAGAAGAAGAAGCAGAAGCAGAATAAGAAGAGGGAAAAATACAGTATAAATATGGAAGTAAAAGTGATTTTGGCGTATCTCGTCCAAGCAAATATCTATGGACAAAAGGTCATTGCTCGGTATCGTGAAAGGCTTCTGAGTTTTTTTCTGATAAAGTACTAGGGTTAGGTTTTCCTCGTTCGATTGATTTTTCCCCTTAATCTCGCTATGATCATGTTCCCACTCCTGCCTTGCCCTTCTCTCTCCCTCCTTCTCCCTCCCCCGCCTTGCCCTTTTCTCTCTTTCCCCTTCTCCATCTCCGTAGATTTGGACTTCAACCATCGAAATATCGTGGATAAAGGAATGATACAACTATTCAAGCTTCCGTGTGTTGCACAGTATCACTCTCAATTGAAGGCGTTTACTCCTCACTCGTCTGTCTCTTCTCCCTCTCCCTCTCCTTCAGTTCCTCTCTCTCGGATCGGTATATCTAGCTATCTCGATTTGGGGCGGGGGAAGGGAATAGATTCCACATTATTTAAGCCCAAATAATGCGATTTTTCACTTTATTTTTTTCTCCATCTCCTCCTCAACATCATTTACCTCACTTTGGAAGGAAGGCAATATGCTTCCCTGATTCCACCAAATGCCTCTCTTAATGAGCAAATCCCTCTTAATTAGGGTTCCCATGTTTGAAAGAATCAATGTTCAGACTGCTAACTGATGTGTTACGGATAAGAGCAAAAAGTGCATCTGAACTTATGACACTGCACTTAATAACACACTGTATTGCCATAACTGCGGAAAGGGAAACACGTGGGCGTCTACTCTTCACAAGTCTGATGCATATACAGGGCGGCCCAGACCTACCGTAATCAAACCTCACAAACCCTGGACACCTGGACGTTAAATTTATAAGCTCAGGGTCCCCCCATTGCCCCCATCAAAGAAGCCTCTGAGGACAACGAAACCCTCAAAGTCATATTCCTTGAGGTCAATTACACGTGAAAACGTCTTTTTTCCGAGTCCCTGCGTTTATTTAGCGAACCTGAATATATTGAAAGGGGGCTCTGTCCCCCACCTTTAAAGGTCAGTATTTCGGACACGGATGGGCCTATTCTGGATTTCTAGGTGTCTTTTAAACTGAAAAATTCCCGTATTTTCTGATTAAATAATTTCAAAATGTTGACATGGATCCCGACTTTTGAAGTTTCCTTTGAAGTGACCCTTTTTTTACTTCCCAAAGAGGGCAGGGGGCTCCAGGGCTATGAGATTTAAATTCCTTGAAATCGATTCTTTGTTCGACCCCGCAGTCTTGCCCTTCGTCCAACCTAAATTGACCGAAAATGCCCTGATATGGTAGGCCAGGGGCACCCTGTAGGGTAGTCAACAGTTTCGATTTTTCTAGAAGGAGGAGACCAGACCCCTTCGCCTTCATCCCACCCCTTGCTACGCTTATGAATTTGAATCTCTTGCACTTCTGTAACTGCAAAGAATTTCACTATCGAATAAAACTATAGTTATTTACGCGAGCCTCAAATGGAGCAGGATGATGTTTTGCAAATCATGCATCCTTTTTGCTTGAACACATAAAAATGATGACTACATAGCCTCAGCTCACGATTTGCGCCCGTATTTTTCTGTTTCTTACCACAACTGAGCGATGCGACGCATGTAGATAAATACTGGGGGGGGATTTGGCAACTATTCAAATAATACTGACCGCTGGGTATAGGTTTCGAGATAACAACGTCGGAGATACATGCCAGCAAGGAAAGGAAGGTATTTCTGGGTACAATCTCACAGTGACTGGACGGGTTTTCGTGTGTTGCGTCTCTTGAAAGTTCGGGTTCGTTGACTTGAAAATTTCCTTCGTTGAAAAAATTGCTACATTTTGTTTCATTCAAAATGGAAAACGGTGCAGTGCATACAGAAGTGAGTAATGACCAATCAATCCTCTTCATCCTTAATTTCTGTTTTTCCGCTGTTTTACTCATATTCAGCTGTGAAAGAATTATTAGATCATCTATCATCGAGATATTATTCAGAACTCGGACGTAGAACGCACCTCTCTAACCGTAGAAAGTGTCTCTAATGAAAATGGTATTATATTTGAGAACATCTTCTGAGGGTACCTCGTTATCTCAAAATTTGCATTCGAGAGGCTAAGCAAAGACGTCATCGGAATTTTTTCAATTTTCCCTCCTTCACACCTGTGAAACTCCGAAAATATTACTCCGTTCATCAGCTCTTTACTTCCACGGGAGAGTTTTGCATAAATAGTGGTCCAAATACTAAAACTGTGTTCATCTCCATTTTCGTGATGCTAAAAATGTAAGCTTTTTTTAGACTGAAACTACATTCCAGCTGGAGACTTCAAAAATGTAAGCATAGTCACTACAGTCAGGTCGCTACTTTAATTTTCCTCTTCGAAGAAATTGTGAGCATGATTTTAGAAAAGCTACACGCAATTTATTGAACCGAGTTAATTTTATTGAAATCAGTCCCTCGTCATTATAACCATTTAAGCAAGGGGAGCTGGTAACTTATAAGAATTTTTCAACTGAATGAGCAGTATGTATTTTTTCGTATCACAAAAATTTCAGGTCTTTCAAGGCTCAGGAGGAAATGACTGGTTACTCCGATCGCCATTTTTTCCCATCAATAATTTTTTCCCTCTGTGAAGTTTAGTTTCTTTACACTCGCGTATTTCATTGCTCATTGTCTCCATTCTATTGTGTTGCAGCCGACATTAATGGACGGAGGAAACTACATTAAGGAAGGCGCCGATGACGCCAAAAGCACGTGGTTGATTTTTTCTCCATCGTGCGACGATGAAGCCGGCTCATTGGCTGATGCGTTGGTTTTGTTCAAGGTAATTTATTATTAAACCTCTTATGAATCTCTTAAAGATCACAAATATATATTGCTGACTTTGTAAGAAACAAAATAAATGTAGTGAGACCTCAATGTATTTGTAACTTTCCAATCAGTAGGGAATATGAAAGTGAATGGCTTTTGCTGAGAAACGCGCACGTACTAACTTGATACATCATGAGACTGGGTTTTCGGTTCCTACTTTACCTATATAACTACTACGGTTTTCTCTCAAATTTGATGCACGATAATGCTTTCCACCGTTGCACCCATCAGAAAATAAAAAAACCGTAAAAAAAACCGTTAAACCCAAACTGAAAGGTCAAATGATCATTTTTTCAGCGGTTGACAAAGTTTATTTTAGCTATAATCTACGTGAATCCCTCCTGAGAGAGCTGATTTTTGGTTTCCCTGAGGCAGTTATTATGTGGGTATTATCCTCACCTCGGTGGTGAGACTCAAGCCGAGCTCATACTTTTGAAGACCATAACCCTTAAAAATTGCATTATGCCGCGATGCGCATTATTGCAATTTATTGAAACAATGTGTGAACCGCTTGCAAATTTCCGGCGACTGCTAATTGCCTGCGACATAAACATTTCCGCTCATATTTTATATTTTTTTCAAAAGAATACTCCTCGACATTTTGGTGTGAAATTTTCAGGAAATACAAAAATTGTATTCTTGAATTTGTATTCTTGCAGAAACGTAAAATGATCACTAATTTTAATGAAATAATGATCATGAGGCCTTTTTCAATATAAAAAAAATGATCACGAAGTGCAGTTCTTAAAGTCAATTTGTGACGTAATCTTAAGAAGTCCTATTTTTAAAATTGCAACGATTTTTATCTACGTTTCATTTTACAAAGAGAGTACAACAATTTTAAGTGACTCTCTCATCTGTGGTCTGTGGTGAGTTTTTGCGCGTGAGTCTGCTAGTAGATAAACAAATTGCGTCATGTCTTACTGATTTTATTGTTATAAAGTGAAGACTTGTTTTTACAAATGAGCCAAAACCAATCTCGGAACTTGGAATAAACATCTTTTAATGCATTGCCTACAGTTGAAAAAAACCAGTCATTCGAGTTACGCAATAAGGTGCACTCTACCTGTCTGCAGGCATTTTTGTCATTCTGACTCCACTTAGAATAACTACCGACTTAAAAAAAAAAAAGTAGAAAAAAAATTCTTGCACGCCTTAGAGACATATTTTTCCACCAGTTCAAATCGATGAAGTAGGTAGCTCAGTGCTGCGTCGCGTTGGTAATACAGGATGAATACATCAATTTGGATCCAAAAGCATCACCTGCATGACTATCCAATTTTAATTTCCCCATCTCTCACTGAAGTGGCAAAAATTAAACGCACTAATCAGGTTCGACGTACCCTTTATTAGAGGTCGCACAAAGGTATTAATGGGTTCCCATTAGGGACCGTCCAGGTCGGCTCCTCTGGGGGGGAGGGGGGTCGAGGAGAACGTTACGCCATTTTTCACGCGTGTTGAAGGATAGGAACCTACGTCAGAGAAGCGTTACGAGGGGAGGAGGGGGGTCGAAAAATCTGAACTTTGACGTTACGTCCGTTACGTATTTAATGAACGGCCCCTTATGACAGAGACATGACTAAAATTGATCTGAATATGTGATGGAGTCAGGCGAAATATGCATATATTTAAAATTATGCCCAATGCACATCTAATACCTCCTCAATAGTTAAAACGTTGTTGAATGACTTACTTTCAGCAATTAACCCTGTGATCCAGCATATTGCAAAATTTTGAAGGTATTTATCTTTTAATGTTTTGACGAAGTTTCTTGTTGTAAGTTGGGCTACATTTCGCAGTTAGGAACTACAATTTCTGGCTCATCCGTAAAGACACGTAAGTACGAGGGGAAACTGATAGTATATAAGTTGTTTCAAAACTGAAACAGATATTGGAGTTCCCGATTGCAAAATGGGGTCAAATTAATTATGAGCCTAACTTATTTTGGACTCTGCTTAATTTTCTATGTGTTACGCGTGCAAACATTTCATGTAAAACAAATTTTCCTTGCAAAAAGCACAATTAAAACGTACTTTATGATCAAGGCCTTGAATTAAAAAATTCTCTGAGTATTGTAGGTGTTCAACGTCATCGTCTCACGATTTTTGTTATTATTTCTTTCAGAAACACAAGATCAATTTGAAACACATTGAATCAAGGTCCTCCCTTCGATTTCCGAATCGCTATGAGTTTATGGTGGAATGCAGTCCTAGCAGCACCCTTGGAGCCGCCATCGAAAATTTAAAAGAAACCTCCCTGTATTTGAATGTGATCTCCCGGAACCACAAAGATAACCGAGGTTGGTATAAAATAGGTGCAAATTAAAGTTGAAGTTAGAAAACATTTTAAAAACAATTCAGGTAGTTTCGCACTCATACGATAATAAATGTCAATGTGGTGGCTAAGTGCTTAAAAAAAGAAACGTTGAGTTCGTGGGCGAAAAACTTATATTTATTGAAATCTGTTAGAGACTTTTTAGTGTCTTCACACCATTTTCTAGATCATAAAGTTGAGCAATTCGTAGGAATAATAATGAAAGTGGTGCATATCGATGGCCAAAGTGTGAAACCACGTGTCTTCATAGTAATTATTCAACATTTTTGTCGACCTATTTTATTTTTTTCTAAAGAAACAAACCAACATTTTAGTTGGAAATTCATGCAGAGTAACAGAAAAATATACCTATTGACCAGTTTTCCAAAAAAAAAAAAAAAATGAAGTATGACAGGGATCGTGCAACGTCACGATCGAAGATACGTGGTTTTGCACTTTCGCCATCGATGCAGAACAGCACCACACGAATTAAGTCTATCTACAAACCCCTCCGTCTACTTTGGACTAGTCATTTTGTTTTCATCGCTTATACCCTCTTGTGTATGGTAACCTTTGGGCAGAAAATTAGCCCTGAATTGACCTCCAAGCTCCAATCGTTACATCCAATCCATATATCTTACACAGATTGATTCTTTCTTGAAATAATCACTAAAAGTAGATGGCGCATAAATGAGCCCAAACCCCTGACTCAAAAATATCAAAATAGAACGCAAAACCATTCTTCTAAGAAAGTGAATTAATATACACTCTGAATGGTTTCTTTCTCTTCCTTTCTTTTTTTTCTGCGAGCTCCGACCAAGCAAACAGATCAGATGTAAGCAAACAACATTATTAAAGAACAGTATCCTCATCCTATCGATTTATAATCTTTTTTTCTTCACTGACAAAAATACGTCATCTGGCTCTAACAACGTCAAACACCTTATTGAGCTTGTAAGTTCAATTTATTTCGTTTTCCATGTGCTAAATCGGTATATTAATCTCAAAAGATAAGTTTTAAAATTCGATAATAAGTCGACACCCGAAACTCAAAGCCCTCCCTTCCCTTCTTCTCATCCGACCTTTGACTTGCTGCTTGCCACGAGATGTCCGCGAACGCTTGAATTTATCGTCCATTGCTCATAATTGCTTTCCACTGGAAGAATAGAGGAATGGGTTGTCGTTAAGACAAAATATATTCATTTCTTTATGAGCCCCCGGCTCCATGCAAAGGCCTGTATTGTATGGCTAATTGGACAAAACACATGTGCGATTCTTATATCGATCGATTTAGATACGCAAAATCAAGGCAAACTTTCACCCTCAAATCGGAAAGAGAAATATGGAGAGGAGTTTATTAACACCTAAAAGTATACAAAATGCCTTGAAAATATTGACAGCAATGTTGACAGAGGATAATGTATTGATCTACCCGGTAAACACCCTCATCTAACTCCAAAGTGATATTTTGCTTCAACGTAATCTGAATGTTGAGATGTAACATAATTAACAATATTTCCTTCTATCCCACTGCAACGTGGGTGGGTTTTATTTTGTTAGAGCGTAACGCATAAGTTCACGCAGTCTTTAAGTTATTTATTTTTTTTTTTTTTTTTGAGGAGGGGGGGATGTGAGTGTTTTTTTTTTTTCAATAAAGGAGGATATTTCCTGGCTATCACTATACTCAAAATGTGGAAATTACATCGGAAATAAAAACTGACACATGTCTTTCCGCGTGATTTGAATTGTATCTGACTGAGCGTCAAGTTGTGTATTTATATCACGTCGCTGTGCGTTTGCATTGCGTAGATTCCAAGTGTAAAACCTTGGTTCAGACTATCGCGGGTGAACAGGGTTTTCCACTTGATGAATCTCTCATTTCTACGCAGCTTATATCATTGTAAAAGAGTCAGGCAAATGCCCTGAGGTTGAAATTCATATCGCTCGGAACAGCTAATAAAACCTGATATGGGTCTTTTTTCTCGTGAAAAGATAGGCTAAACGTTTTCAAATACTTTCAGCGAGCCGATTATTGAATTTTTCCGTCACAAGGACGGGACATCAAAATGCGATAATTTACATGGTAATAATAGGGATTTATCTTGTCGTGCTTGTGCACGATATCCACCGTGTCATGGTCAGATGTCTCCGTCGGCGAATGTTTTGTAGGTACGATACATTTTGTTAGAATCACATTCATGACTCATTAAAAAATTTTAATTGTGCCTCTTCGTTGTATGAGGAGTGAGTTCTAATTTGGATTCTAGCGCATCTGCCGTTAGTGCAGAAAAGGTAACATCAGCTTCGGATTTGTCAAATAAAGGTATGGTCATAAAATGGCTCGCTTACCTACTCGGAACTCCATGAAAAAACAGCCTTTCACCAAATCGGAAGAGGCTACTTTTACGCCATATCAGTTCGCCTTCAATTTTTATTGCAGGCAACACGAGCTCTCAGGTGGTCGAATAGTGGTATCGTCGTGAAATGGCACGCTTACCTACTCGGAACTCAGTGAAAAAATAGCATATTACAAAACCGGAAGAGCCACAGATATTGTTAAACAGCCAACAAAAGAACATTCGTATTATCAACTTTTATTGAATCATATTAAAACTTATTTTATATTTATTTGGATTTCTACAGACACGGTACCATGGTTTCCCCGCCGTATCCGTGACCTGGACAAGTTTGCGAACCACATTTTATCTTATGGATCAGAGCTAGACTCAGATCATCCCGGATTCACCGATCCAGTTTACAGGGAGAGGAGGAAGTACTTCGCTGATTTAGCTTTTAACTACAAGCAGTAAGTGTTTTTATTAACCCGTCTTCTTGATAATCTTTAATTCATCTCAAACTTTTTTTTCTGAGCCAAATTTGCGCGATAACTATTTTTTTTGTTTTTGCTTCATGTAAAGTTGAAAAGCATCAGGAAAAGAAGAAAAAAGGAATCTGTTAACGAAGTACAGTTGTAAAGAAACCAGGTAGAAACTGCTTCAGGGTGCAGCAGTGATATTAGTAATTTGAGGTACAAGTTAGCGAACTCACACCGCACGTTTATCTACTGTAGGTATTTGTACAAAATATGTATGCTATTTGTGTACATCATACTTCCTCAACCAAATTCTTTACATGTTTTTCTTTTGTTTGTTTGGTTTTTTTTTTCAAGAATTTGACAATAAGAAGGTCCATAATTGAATTCTAGAATTCTTACATATTTTTGCAGATACTACACTGAATTATGCAAAGTTGTGTACGATCAAAGATTACAAAAAAAATAAATAAATAAATAAAAAGTGTTTTGTGTACGTTCTCTGTGTATGGTAGGCCAACAAAGGAGTTAATATCAATAATCAGGATTTTCACTCTTTCAATTCATTTCTACGGTGAATAAAGAACAGCGCAACATAGTCATTGTTACTCGTTCTTATATTCCACACTTTTCAAATTCCAAGAGTCTATGGACTTAATCCTCCTTAATAAGAATTTATTTGCAAAATTACAAATTTTTATCAACTTTTTCAGCGGTGAGCCATTACCCAGAGTTGATTACACAAAAGAAGAAACAGAAACATGGGGAAAAGTCTTCAAACAACTCACTCAGCTCTACCCAACTCACGCGTGTAAAGAATTCAACCATGTTTTCCCGCTTTTGATTCAAAACTGTGGTTACAGAGAAGATAACATACCTCAACTTGAAGACATCTCCAATTTCTTGAAAGGTAAATAGGCACATACTCACATACCCAAATACAGAAAAACAAATTGAGTCATCAGTATCCTCTTAATGACAATAAATGTTGTTTTCAAAATGAAATCATATGAAATTCTAATGCCTATGCAAAAATCCCCTCAAAAATTATAAATGCCATCGAATGTAAAAAATTGACCATATCTCTGACGCGGACCTCTAACCAGGCACTGCTGCATATTTTGCGTATGTCTCCTTTCAAAATTGCATGCAAAATAAATCACTCAACGAGTTTCCAACGTATAAAAATGCTTACACTATGATCAAATAATTAGAATAATGTACCTCAAAATGTCACAAAAATATGCCTCCAAAATGCGACCATATCATAACTCCGAGAGTAACTTTATTTAATCTGGTTATTGCAGAGAATATAACGTCGTCAAATAACTACTGAAGGTACAAATATTTTAACAACCGGGATGTATTTAACCCGCAAACCGAGGTACGCAGTCTGGTATTGATCTCCGACAAAAATCCTTCGATGGTCAAACCTATCAATTTGGGTTTGAAGCAGAGGGAGACCATGTCACATGTGTAAACTGTATAAAATATTTGGTACCTTTTTGTTACAGACAGTACGGGTTTCACATTACGACCAGTAGCAGGTCTGTTGGCGTCAAGAGATTTTCTGGCCGGTCTGGCATTCAGAGTTTTCCACTCTACACAGTACATTCGGCATTCCAGCGTGCCTCTTTACACTCCGGAACCAGACATTTGCCATGAACTCCTGGGTCACGTCCCACTGTTTGCTGATCAAGCTTTCGCCCAATTTTCCCAGGAAATCGGCCTTGCATCTCTTGGAGCTCCGGACGAGTACATTGAAAAACTTGCCACCGTGAGTAATACCCAAGCCTCTACATTTCTCTAGATACAAACATTATGAAACGCAAACATGATAATGAAACTACGAATTTTTTCTAATAAAACTGGAATTTCTCACATAATTTGGTCATTAAGTGCCAATTTTTAATGTCTAATTAAATATGAAGAGATATGCAATTTGCAATCCAAAAAAAACTGCGACTCATTTTTACACTTTATTGCACTGAATTTCAAAGAGTGGAGCATGGAGCCTCTTCAATCAGTAGATAGGCAACAAACACAACACTTCAATACAGTAGTAATGATTTTAACTCGCCTTTAAAATCGCAATGTTCATTGCAACCTGTGCTACTTGGACAGGCTGCAAGCTATTGGTTTAAAGAAGCTTGGAGTCTAATAATTGAGGGAATGAGAGCCGAAATGGCTTAATTGTGTTATAGTGTTGCAAAATGGCATTTAACAATTTATATACATGTTTACTCGAGAACGGTTGCAAATTTTTTCAATAAATTTCCTATGGATCTTTTTTAAGATTTGACGAAAATTTCCTTATTTCTTAAGATTTTTGATGCATTACACACGACTGTTTGTGAGTAAAAAATTAGGTAGGTATTTTATGAAACTTCGAAAATTTGCGATACAGTTTTTCTTCAAGTTTTTCTTGCTTCCACCCAACCCTTCAATTGTACTTTTGATGTTCTGCAATGATCTTAAAACATTAAGTGTCGATCCAAAAATAGAGACACCATTAATAGACTCATTATCCTTACACCGATTTGCGCTTGCCACGGGGAGGCTAATTGGACTACATTTTGAAATTTGGAACTATAAATTCTAGCCCGGTTTAAAAACGACGGATGTGCCATTAGTTTCCCTATGCACATACGTATTTTTACAGATGAGCCAGAATTTATAGTTCCAAATTGCAAAATGCAGTCCAGTTGATAGAAGAGAGAAATGAGGTTGTTCATTGATTGCTTATTACAGTACTTTTGCTTGCTCGGCCCCTATTAGAGCTTATCTGGCCCTGCAATGAAGTAAACTCGATCTTGTTTTTCTTTTTTGTTTCAGTGCTACTGGTTTACTGTAGAGTTCGGACTATGCAGACAAGAGGGCCAACTTAAAGCCTACGGAGCAGGACTTCTGTCCTCATTTGGAGAACTTCAGTATTGCTTGTCAGATCAACCTGAGCTGAAACCCTTCGAGCCGGATGTAACAGGGCTTCAGAAGTATCCCATAACTAACTACCAACCGCTTTACTTTGTGGCTGAAAGCTTCGAGGACTCGACAGAAAAAATGAGGTATGCTTACGTCTACTTATGATGAATGAAGTCTTGACATTTAGCTGCTGCTCTTTGAAATTATGCTTTTGCAATATTATCACAGACGTACTCTGATTGCGTTGCGCTAATGAGCTGCAGGCTACAATTCACATTTAATCATTGTAAATTGAACTAAATCAGCAGTGTGCAGTGTGTTAAAGCATTTAAAAGCATACTATGTCCCAGATATTGATGAGTGACTTAACGTGGTTAACCTCACTTCAAGGTAAATATAGTGTCCGCAGTTCCGCACATCACCACATTCTCAATGTGCGACTAATGATCAGTTATACATTCGGATTATTTAAAAGAAGAAGCAAAATAAAAAATAAAAATAAAAAAAATGAAAACAAATTAGATGAACGATTAAAAATTTCCGTGTTTATGATTCCTTTGAGTTACTTTCCTCCCAGTCAGATCAACAAAAAAGACTCGGTTAATCAAAGCATTATCCAGACAATTGGCAAAATTGCAATATAAATCAGAAATAGTTCACTTAATCAGTCCAACATGCAACTCTGGAATTAAGTTAAGGTGTAAGTTAAACAAAGAGAGCGCCCTCAGTTAGTGTCGAATGCAACGAACACTACACAAAGTCCATTTTAACTCCTGAATGCAACTATTCGAGCTCCACTGATGTTCAAGTTGCATACACACAAAAGTGAAGGCGTTTTGATTGGCCAGGCACTCACCGCTTCACCCGCCGCGCGGCGCGACGCCAACGGCAGTGGTGAGGCGGTGAATGTCTAACGTCAAATCGCCTTCCCTTCCGTGCGTATGCAACACGAACATCCATGGAGCCCTAATAGTCGCATCCAGGCGTTATAATAGAATTTCTTTTAGTATCCGTGCATGCGACTCTAACTGAAGGTTTGATTGTCTTTTTTACACCTTTACTTAATTCCAGCGATGTTTATTGTGCCGATGAAGTAAACCATTACTGATTCTCATTACGACATTATCAATTATCTGAGAAATGCGTTATTTATATGTGTTACTACGTTGCTAGCCCTTGGGTTCGCAAAAAATTAGGTACCTGAGCATGATATGTAGAAAAATAAAAGACACATTCGATATTAGTCAGAAATTTATAAAAAAGGACCTTAAATTTTAGAATGAAATCACTTGCCAATTGTCCCTAATGAATCGACATTTGGATCGCATTTAGCAAAAAGGAACCAGCACGATTACAGTGTTATAAAAATGTTCGCATTATTCCTTCATAATTATCTGAAAAATCTCTCAGATTAGTAGGTAGTTTCTGCTTTCCACAAAAAATGTTTAATTTTAAAGGGAAATAATCGTGTAGCTTTTAATACTGCACATAGATTGAGTATTATTAAAAGAAAAGAAGAGGTTGCAAGATTTTGAAGACGTTTTAATCGCGCTGGTTCGTTTTTGCTAAAAGTGATCCATTTTCTTCGTGATAAAAAGAGACAAACTGAAACAATTTCAGTGCTCATCGAAGCAATATCAACAAAGTTCATATGCTAAATTATCATTTAATAATTCATTGATCTCGTTTTTATTTTCTTAGGAAATTCGCGAAAAAGGTTCCCAGAGATTTTGGAGTCCGTTATAACGCCTACACGGAGAGCATTGATCTCCTGGACTCTAAGCAACAACTAGAGGAGCTAGCTCAAACAATCAAATGTGAGGTTGAAATTCTGGAAGACGCTCTCCGCAAGATCAAATTCGCCTCCAAAAATTACGATTCATTCGTAGTGCAATAAATGAAAGTTACAATCTATAACTATAAGATAAGCCGATAAAAGCTGAAAAAAACAACGAAAGTGTAATACCGTGCCATTATTCTTATCAGATGTTCAACATAGTTTATTTATTCGATGAATTATTTGATTTGAGAATTGAGAATCAAATAGGTGCTGAGTGTCGTGAGTCTTTTTTTTTTTTAAAACAAATTTTAGCTGTTTGTAAATATTTTTAATTTTAGAATATGTCTAATAATGTAAGAAATATGTTTGCCCACAAATGGAGATTTGTGTACGTTCGAAATATACGTAATTGGTTGTAATTGCCTTAAAAGTATAAAGAAAGTTTTTACATTTTTATCGATCTTGATATTTTTTCATTCATCATCCTCGACTATATGTATATAATGGAAATTTGCCCCAATGGAGGAGGAAATAGAATAACTTCATTCAATGTCCATGAAGTTAGCACCCCGACTTTTAAAATTTTAAATTTTCTCTTTTGCTCATCATTGCTCATTATTTGCTCACATCAAAAATCGCTTTCATTTTTTTTGCTCAGGCATGTACCCCCCAAAAATCGAACTTGAACTTTCAGAGAGGTCATTGACCTTAGCACCCCCACTTTGTCCGATTGACCTGAAAATGGTCTCAAACGACGCAGATCATTTGCTCACCTTTGCTCAGCCCTTAGTTTTCGTTGCTCACCTCCCCCTTCGCACCAAAAATGAAAGGCGGCATTTTGGGGGACATCAAGGGCAGCACCCCCACTTTGTCCGATTGAGTTGAAATTGGTGTCAAACGACGCAGGATCATTTGCTCTCGTTTGTTCAGTCCTTAGTTTCCGTTGCTCACCCCCCCCACTTCCCCTCCGAATCGAATAACGACATTTTGACGCACATCAAAGGGAGCGCACCAACTATGTTCGCAACCGCCATTCGTTTTCGGGAAGAGGTAGGATTCGGGCAACGGAAAGGAAGGGCTGAGCAAAGGTGAGCAAATGATCCTGCGTCGTTTGACACCAATTTCAGCTCAATTGGACGAAGTTAGAGTGCTGCCTTTGATGTCCCCCAAAATGCCGCCTTTCATTTNTTTGGGGGGGGGGGGGACGAAGGGGTGAGCACCAAAGACTAAGAGCTGAGCAAAGGTGAGCAAATGATTCTGCGTCGTTTGAGACCCTTTTCAGGTCAATCGTACAAAGTGGGGGTGCTAAGGTCAATGACCACTCTGAAAGTTCAAGTTCAATTTTTGGGGGGTACATGCCTGAGCAAAAAAAAATGAAAGCGATTTTCGAGGTGAGCAAATGATGAGCAAAAGAGAAAATTTTAAATTTTAAAAGTCGGGGTGCTAACTTCACAGACATTGGTTTCGCACTTCAGTCGGTGCGATACGGACATCCATCAAGTTTAAATAGTTGCATCAAGTCCCCGTCACCGCCGACCAACGCGTCTGTCGATCGAATCAACTACAAGTAGCATGAGCAGGGAGTCAAAACGCCTTCAATTTTTTGAACGCAATACGGACATCCGTCGAGGTTATATAGTTGTATCAAGGCGCCGCGCGCCGTAGCAAACGCGTCCCATTGTTTATGGATACAGACGAATATAAGTTGAGAGAGGAAAGTCATAATGCCTTCAATTTTATGCATACATATTTTTGAGCAAAATGAGAGACGACGTTTCTCCATTTGCGACGTTGCAGACTTCCTTAGAAATTTTATTTTTCTTTCGAGGAGCTGGTCAAAATAACACTTAAATTCTCCATGATTTTTCGTATTCGATGGCAGAAGATTCGGTTCAAAATTTAAAATCGTAAATTTGGATTGCTTCTCATGGAAGAGATGAAATATTTTGAAACACCGCAATGGAGATACGCGGTTTCGCACTTCAGTTGGTGCGATACGGATCTCCATCAAGTTTAAATAGTTGCATCAAGTCCCCGTCACCGCCGACCAACGCGTCTGTCGATCGAATCAACTACGAGTAGCATGAGCAGGGAGTCAAAACGCCTTCAATTTTTTGAACGCAATACGGACATCCGTCGAGGTTGTATAGTTGTATCAAGGCGCCGTAGCAAACGCGTCCCATTGTTCGTGTTTAACACACACATGTTGTCACCCTCACACATATTGACACACATGTTGTCTACATTCATGTTTAAATATTAGAATTTCTACAGATAATTTAAAAAGTAGGTAAATTAATAAAACTGAAAAAATAAAAGAATAAAAAAATGGTCGAAACTTCATTTAGATTTTCCATGGAGAAGATAAAAAAAGTGGACATCCCGAATGCCATAAAAAGTCATTTACTTTAAAAAAAGACGAAGCAATATCTTGCTCCGGTGAGATCTAGAGATCTACTGAGTAGATTCTCACCATTTTTTTTTCTTCTTCATTTCTGTTCAGCAGTGTGTATGAGAATTTGCCAAGTTCGATCAGATTTGAGCCTCTGACAATCTTCGATTTTTTAAAACTTGAAGGCTTTTCGTTCAAGTGCGAACGCTGCAATCCCATTTTTTCCTTGTTGCTTCTTATGATCTTTCGCTTCCTGTTCCTGCCATTTCTCAAGCCTCCTCCGATGTTTCATTATTGCGTATAATCTCTCCACAGACCATCGAAGTTCTCTTAAGAAAAAGTTTTCCGTGACCTAACGCGATGTCGACGCTTGACGTCCGTAATTTTTAAAAAAAACATGGGAACCTATGGCAGTTTATGGCACTGCGCGCTGCCGAACAGTGCCGATAAAGCATTCGGAGAAAATTCCAGCTTCACCGACCCTAATGTGCGACCGTCTTTTCGACGATAAAATAACATCAGTCTGCGGTGGCAGAATATTCAGCTGAGCTATTGTTATCGAATGGAGTAATAAAAACGAATTTTCAGATTTCGACGAAAATTGCTCTCCTCCGAGGGGTTCAGTTTTAGTTTTCGTGCTAAGTGAGAAATTGTAAAATTCCTATTGAAATCTTAGGTATATTAGTATACAGGGTGTCTCACGAAAAACGAGCCACCTTGAATATCTACCGAACGCGTCGGAATTTCGAAAAACGGTAAAAGACGTGTTCGTTCATATCGAGAGGGACACCTTTTGGCGTATTCGACAATTGCCCAAACCGCGGGAGGGGCGCGGGGCGGGGGGTGCCCCACCCGTAAGTCGAACTTTTCAAATGGCACCTCTACTTTTTTATTTCAGAAATCAATTCTACGCAAAAAAACAAGCCACCCTGTCCAAACCGAATGTAAATCGGACAATTCTTCAGTGATTGACAGAGTTTGAAACATTTTTTTCATGCTCTTTTCAAAAATTTCCCACGCCGAATGGAGTTGCTGTATCAAACCAAACTCTCCGCCAAAAAAATTCTTAAACATGGCACTTTCGATAAAAAAATAAAAAAAAGCTGCTGCACTCGCAATCTGGAGCACGCGGAGCCCTTCTTTGCGACATTAAAATTTGTTATACCGAACATTTCCGGGGGGCGCACATCGGGAGGGAGTAGTAAGTTTTATACAAGAATTATTAATCTTTTTTCTGAAGCATAAGAAACCGTGTCCACGAAGAAGTAGTTAAGTAGAAAGACAAATGGATTAGCTTTTGGGGGGGGGGGGGGGTGTCAATGACTTGAGCCGGACCTTGATACTTCTGAGGACGCTATTTTTCCGCGGTGCGTTGTTTTTCTACTTAACTGCTTCTTCATGGACACGGTTTCTTATGCTTCAGAAAAAAGATTAATAATTCTTGTATAAAACTTACTACTCCCTCCCGATGAGCGCCCCCCGGAAATGTTCGGTATAACGAATTTTAATGCCGCAAAGAAGGGCTCCGCGTGCTCCAGATTTCGAGTGCAGCAGATTTTTTTTATTTTTTTATCGAAAGTGCCATGTTTAAGAATTTTTTTGGCGGAGAGTTTGGTTTGATACAGCAATTCCATTGGGCGTGGGAAATTTTTGAAAAGAGCATGAAAAAAATGTTTCAAACTCTGTCAATCACTAAAGAATTGTCCGATTTACATTCGGTTTGGACAGGGTGGCTTGTTTTTTTGCGTAGAATTGATTTCTGAAATAAAAAAGTAGGGGTGTCATTTGAAAAGTTCGACTTACGGGTGGGGCACCCCCCGCCCCGCGCCCCTCCCGCGGTTTGGGCAATTGTCGAATACGCCAAAAGGTGGTGTCCCTCTCGATATGAACGAACACGTCTTTTACCGTTTTTCGAAATTCCGACGCGTTCGGTAGATATTCAAGGTGGCTCGTTTTTCGTGAGACACCCTGTATTCTATGGCCATGGCCAAGGAAGCTTTTCTGTCATTGCTCATTCGATCTGGCAACACTCACCAAAAAATACTACGCATAGTACTACGATGAGTAAAATGACGAAATCTTGGCCTCTCATTGGTCCATTTTGTTTTGAATGGTTCATTCATAACCCTCGCCTAGATAGGATAATCAATTTGGCAACCAGGAAAAATATGAAAGAAATATGACAACATCTTTATGCAAACACTGCGGTTTTTAGGTTATGTTGTTTCTGACGTAAATTTTGCCCTCGTGTCTTCAAATTTTTATATTCAAAGTGAGTGAATACCACCTTAATTTTGATATTGAGAGCAAGTATTTCTTCCCAATCAACATTTTTGCATCTGAGTGATAGATTTCCTTTACAGAATTTCTTTTTCCCCCAATTTTCGGTCGCCGCACCACCCGTTTATTCAGTTTGTTTATACCTTATTTCATCATGTCTGCAATGCTGTGTTTTCTGAATATTTCCTTAAAAATTGAAATGCCACGATCCTGATAAGGAGATTAACTGCTCTAACAGATGTCCATAAATTCATATTTTCTCATGTAATTTTACAAGTCCACAGCCATTATTTATACTGACATGTATTTTTGACCCTATCCCAAACCATCGTCTCGGCGATGTCTGTGAACGCTATCTGAACATTTGTCACCAATGAAAAGACAAAATATTTGGCACATGCACATTTTCGTTTTTGCATTATCGTCCCCTAAAATTCAATGAAATTTAACCCTAGCCTATAGATGGTAACTTAAGTATCGTGAAAACGCAAATTCTCATCATTGTTACAACTTCTTATCTGTCTGTACCTAGCGTATTTCAATTGACGTTTCTTTTTCTTTTTCCTCTTTTTCAGCACTTCTCATCAGTTCCTGGTAATCATGCCGGAAGAACTAGCGGACTTATCGCTAAGTAAGTTCCTGAATAAGACTTTTATAATATGGTTTGAATGCATCTAGAACTCGCTCATCCTGTAATGCAATAAAAGTTAATCTCTGAGTAGCCCTTAATATGTTCAATTTATTTATTCTTTATACCACGTGTCAACATTATTACAGCAACTTCTCTGTCCCCTACCAGAAGCGCAGCTTGTGTGGTGGGTGTCTTGCCTGGACAAACCTCACTACAGAAATTCAGCTACCAGTCACAGATTGACATCAAACAACAGAATAAGAGTGTAAATCACTCAACTCTACATAGAGATATGTCACCTTCCGGCCAAAGTATCATAAGTGCCATGTGGTGTTTAAAAATTTCCGCCGCCATTTTATTTTTTTATAGACAAATTGTTGGTTGAATCTGTTTGAAAATTTCACAGAATTTTCTTTGTGCTGCCGTTAAAACTTCGTGAAATTTTCAAATAGATTCGACCAACAATTTCTCTGTTAAGAAAATAAAATGGGGGCGGAAATTTTTAAATATTGCATGGCGCTTATGATACTTTTACCGGAGGGTGACGATATACAAAACTGTAAACAATAATAAAATGTAAAAAATTTAGATGAACTTACAAGAATTACTTCCAGCATTATTGCTGCCACTTAGGTAGCATTGTCTTTAGTAGCGCTAAAAGGAGTAATGCTATTTTTATTAATAGGATTGAATTGAAACTAAAATAATATCTTTGAGATGATCACAACTGCTTCGCGGAGCGCATAACCATGACTGCCACCAGGATCGTACACTCATGACAGAGTACTTGCCCTGTTAATGATTGTCCATGAATCATTAAGTACTAGTCTTTACTTACCAAACATGTTGTTCTTTCCAGAGGAGCTGTACACATCTGAAAAACATGGATCAGACACTGATGGAGATGGAACCGAATCAAAGCCATTCAAGACAATTTTACAAGCTATGCGCCATGCAGGCAAAGAACCTTTTCCAGTCATCTATGTAGACAGTAAAGATGAGAATCAAGTAAGTTTGTAATCAATGTCAGTCATATAATTTGAAATAGATGACTGTTTTACTGATGAATCTAAAGCTCTTCAAATATTTTCTCTCATTAATTAATTGACCACTGTTTTCGATGACTGATAATAGACAAATTTATTGAAAGTTCTGCGTTTCTGAGACTTAAAATTAAACATAGTCTAAAAAAATACTAAATTCTTACCTTCAAAAAATAAATGTCTTGCCATGTTTAATAAAACCACAAAGTTGCAGTGCAGTGAGCAACATTTGCCCTTAATCTCACATTTTGTTCCAAGTCCTCATGTATCAAACTTTAAAAAACAGTCTCTTCCTAACTTTTACTTACAGAAGTTTGAACCAGCAGCCAAATCGCAATTGAAGAAAATCAGCAAGATATGGACGAGGGAAAGTTACAAGACAGCTGAAAAATCGAAAAGAGAAGATGAAAAAGCAGAGCAACGTGCCAAAAATATTGAAGAAGCAAAGAAGATTAAGCTTCAAGAAGACTCCACTCTCCCTCCTGCCAAATTGGTTAAAATATTTGGTTTAGAGAAGCATAGAGGTGAACGTGTGAAAATCTATGGCTGGGTTCATCGCTTAAGGCGTCAAGGTAAACCGATCTCTTTCATTACAATATTTTGGTTTGGTTTTATCAATCATTTAGAAGTGATATGACTATAGGGCTTTTTTTTATCGCAAAACAGGGTGGATCATAGTGGAACATAGGTACTGAAAGGGAATCCCAAGTTATCAGGACTGATTCTAAGCGTTCCAAGTGGTAGAAAACTTCAAACTTGGTGGTTGGTTTGATTTGTTAAGGACAGAATCTTTCTCGAATTAGCCTAGGATCACATCAGAATTTGATCTACACCCATCTTGGAAGAGCGATCCATTCACTCCATCCCGATCCACTGGAACGCTTGGAACTCGGCGGAGGAACAGAATAAAAAAATACCGATGTTCATCGTGATCCACTGCGTTCCGGATAAAAAAAAAGCCTTCATTGTCTCAGCTTTCAAATTATCATGTTCAGCATTACAAATTCATGTAAATTTGGAAATCATGAAATCAGTTGATCATAATCAATACCATTAGATTTTGGAATTGCATTATTTCAGCCATGACTCACGAAGATTTAATGACCAAAGTTGATAGACACCCTCTTTAAAATGAAGGTACTTAGAATTTTCCTTAAGGCCAAAATTGCCCTTAGTACTAAGTGGTAAAATGAGAGTCTAGTGCAATTTTTTTGCTGTCTGAGTGCCCGTGTGCATTGTCCAAAGGTCTTTAGCAATCAGTCGCTAACGTTATAAATCATCTATGGTTATTCTCTCTTCCTAAAGAAATTCAACAATGCCTCTATACTTTCAGGTAAGACATTGATGTTCATCACTTTGAGAGATGGAACTGGATTCTTGCAGTGTGTTTTGAATGACAACCTGTGTTTGACGTATGAAGCAGTCACGCTCTCTACAGAGTCATCTGTTCTTCTGTTTGGAACTGTAAAGGAAGTTCCTGAAGGGAAAACCGTACGTATTTTCATTCAGTCCTTATTTTACATTACTTCTTGGATTTATTATTTTATTTTACTTTATTTTTACACAACAATTTTCAGAACATGTCACTTTATGTAAATAACACAACAAATTCTATTTACATCTGTCATTCATAATGAAAATACACGACAAAGGTCACAATTGAGTGAGATTTTTCTACCAATTAAAATGAAATGCACCATCATGTCAATTTCTAAATACGGTGATCAATAATTTTATCTTGTCCCAGAATTTACAAAAGAGGATGAGATTTCGGACTTCCAATCATACAGGCCTTGTCCATGAGAGTTTCTCTTTAAATGAACAACAAAGTTTCAGTATTGAATACACATTATATTTATCTATAGGTGTATAATCCTCATATTATTTTTCTTAGGACTTATTTCTTATCAGTTTAATGGAAGTATGAGGAGACTTTTTGTTGATGTTGCACTGAAAATTCTCAGCTGAGGTGGAGCATGAAATTAAATTTAACTTAATTTTTCCATTGACTTGATCTTTCTCCTATAAGTAAATTTATTGTAAGCAAAACTAATCGATGCTCCCTTTTAGGCTCCAGGTGGTCATGAAATGCATGTCGATTATTGGGAGCTTGTCGGAGCAGCTCCTGCTGGTGGTGCTGATAGTATTCTCAATGAAGAAGCTCTTCCAGATGTCCAGCTTGACAACAGACACATCATGATTCGCGGTGAAAATGTAAGTCATCCTGATCAATTGCTAAATGAAATGTATTTAAATGTAAGTCCCACAATCCTGTCACTCTCTCCCAGCAGTGGAAACGAAAGTCATTACTTGTCAAGCATCTCAAAGACTTTACTCAACAAGGTCGTCCTCAAGTGAAGGTCTCTCTAATTCTGAATAGTGCTTTGCTTCTATCTGAAGCAGTCTACCGGATTCTCGCAGGATCTCATATAGTCCTAATTACAGGGAAAAGGTTGTTCTGAGTAAGTTTATCATAAAAATACCAAGGATAAAAGAATCCTGGAAAGTGTCTATATACTGCAACCATCACCCTGGGCTCTGTGAAAAGTTCAATGCTTGAAATTTGCACTGCAAGATACCATGGGAATGTAGGTATAATTTATCCCACCTTCTTGGAATAGCTGAATGTTTACGCAACTTCACCATCACTCCAAATTTGTTAATACATGCGGTCACATTTGAAATTATCATTCTTTTTATTGAAAAAAGGCAGTGCTTTTAATTTTGTATTTGTGAAGATCCTTCTGCTTGCTGTATTTTTTTTTTTTTTTTTTTTTTCCATTTAATCCAAATCTTCGTTTAAAATGATTTCAGACCTCTCAAGTCCTGAAATTGCGCTCAGTTGTGACACAAGCTTTTCGAGATCATTACCTAGCTCAAAATTACACTGAAATAGCACCGCCTACTCTTGTGCAGACTCAAGTAGAGGGTGGTTCGACTCTCTTTAAACTGGACTATTTTGGGTAAGTGAAAAATGTCCCTAAAATCGTTTTCAAGTTAGCTATACCTGTCTCAGCATCAAGAAAGTATCCATCTCATTTTTGTTGTCTTCTTTGTTTTATTTTTTAATTAAATAAATAGACATTTGTACTTGGATTAAAATGAACAAAAGTGATCATGCTAATAAGTTGACTGCGTCTTTTCACCAGATCAGGGCCATATTAAAAGCTGTTCCTCAAAGATGAAAAAACAGCCACAAAAATATAAATACATATGGCTCTTAGATTTATTTCAAATTAATCCATTGATATGAACATAGTTGTCTCTGGACGTTCTGATATGTCATAATTTTTTTGAGAAGTGTTCAGAATGCTGTAGTACCTAAGAATGCTTAATATCAGCAAGCAACTTAATAGAGAGAAAATTTCCATAGTCCTTAAACTCTGTTATCATGAAAATAGTAATTGAGAAGCTTTCCGGAAAAAGGGCACATAGCAAAAAATTGCGTTTGAGAGAAATGCATTTGAAGTTTTCATCATTACTCTATGGTGACTGACAGTGACTTTCGTTCAAAATCAAGAGTTCAAGCTGCGATAAAAGGTACCATCAGTGGCCAGAAATTAATTATGGAAACTTAAAATACATTTTTCTCAAACGCCATTTTTTGCTATGTGCCCTTTTTCCAGGAAGCTCCTCAATTGAATAATTGCATATTAATGTCACTCAGTTAAGCTCTCACTTTCAATACCTTAATATGTATGTACAAGTAACATTTGAAATTTACTCAATTTCAGGGAAGAAGCATACTTAACTCAAAGTTCTCAGCTGTACTTGGAGACTTGTTTGCCAGCAATGGGTGATGTTTTCACTATTAGTCAAAGTTACAGGGCAGAACAGAGTCGAACAAGAAGGCATCTGGCAGAATATTCTCATGTTGAAGCTGAGTGTCCATTTATCTCTTTCGATGATTTATTGAATAGAATTGAAGATCTAATATGTGATGTCGTGAAAAGAGTTCTTGACTCACCCTATGGCCATGTAGTTTACCAACTCAACCCTGATTTCAAACCTCCCAAAAAACCATTCAAAAGGATGGATTACAGTGAAGCTATTGAATATCTAAAAGCCAATGATATTAGAAAAGATGATGGCAGCCTATATGTGTTTGGTGAAGATATTCCTGAAATGCCAGAGCGCAAAATGACAGACAAAATTAATGAGCCAATCATGTTATGTAGATTCCCAGCTGAAATCAAGTCTTTTTACATGTCGCGATGTCCTGAAAATGCTGTTTTAACGGAATCAGTGGATGTCCTGCTGCCAGGTGTTGGTGAAATAGTCGGTGGCTCAATGCGTATCTGGAACTATGAAGAAATGATGGCCGCATACGAAAAGGCTGGAATAGAAAGTGCTCCATACTATTGGTACACAGATCAACGAAAATACGGTACTTGTCCTCATGGAGGTTATGGACTAGGATTGGAAAGATTCTTATGTTGGCTTCTCAACCGATACCATATTAGAGATGTTTGTTTGTATCCCAGATTTTTGGAAAGGTGCAAGCCTTAATTTTAGGAGCCCCCCTCTCACTCTCTCCGCCTGGCATTTTATGAAAACCATTTTGTCCACTACCAAAGTTGATGCCTCCCTGTGGAAAATCCCTTTTTTTTAGCATATAGTTTTCTAATTTAATTATTTGTGTATTTAACCCAGTGAAACTGTACAATTAAGCTTTAGTCGGTGGCATAACTTTGTTTTATCATCAAATTTCACATTATGAGTAGATCCATACAGCTGGAGTCCTTTTTTTTACTTGAACCATCAAAGCTAAGTGCATTTAAGGGGGACGTTTTCAATGAAAATGTCTATCAAAGAACTAGGGAATTGATCCTTCGAAAGGTATTTTACATCATTTAGTCATGACTGAGAACTTAACTTATCCATAAAAATTTATTTATTTTTTTTTTATTTTTTGGTATAAGTATTTCTGATTATTTATTCAAATAGTTAAGTAGATCAAAAGTCAAAATTTTCATGTCAGAATCGCACACATGTATATTAAAACTAGCAGAATTCGCCAATCTTTAAGTAATTGAATTACTATAGAATTCTATCTGTATATTTGTGTTTCTCTAAGATTCAAATGCAGCACTTGCAGCAGAAATGAAGGATTTTTTTTTATTTTTTTAATTCATTTTTATCCGTTCAATACAAAGATTCAGGCAATTTTAGAATGATATATTTCTTCAGCCTTAGAGATTCTCAATACTCATTGTGAGACCTAATTAATTATCTTCTCTTTGTGCCTCACTTTATCTAAAATTGATTGATTGCAAGAAGTATGCAACAAAGAACTAGGTCATCCAATAATCGTGCTATTTTCCAATATTATTTTATTTACTCTAAATGTGAACATCATTAACAGAGTTTCAGGCGCATTGGAATATCATCGCCCATATTTTTTTTCACTGAGCATTTACTAGTATTCAACCGAAAGTTTAATTAATTTTGTATGTCAGGTAATTATTGTATCACTGTCTGCTCAACGCTGCTACCTAGTTGTACTTTTCTTTTTCCTTAGATAATAAAGATCTCAGCTCCGAACCTTACCTGCAATTGTGATCAAATTCAGCCCTAGGATAGCACACATTTTTAAGTGACCATAGTAATGTCTTTTGAATTGTACAAGTACATTGTGTGGTTTCTTTTCTATATTTGCAAATCTTAGAACTTTTTTACAGCATTATGTGAGTAAATCAAAGGAAATGTTTCCAAGTTTAACTCCTTGCAGCTTTTAAATGAGGTTTTTTTTTTGTTTTTTATAGTTGAGCACAAACGTTTTACTCTGGTTCTTTTTAGTAATTTCATTTGAAAACTTCTCGTGTCCCTACAAGAATGTTTCTATCCTACTCAAACACCTTTCCTTAGTTTTTTTTAATGTTTATCACCATTGTTTCCTTTTTTTATTGTAAATTTTAGAAAATAAAATCAATTTACTTTAATTTAGTGTATTCTTTTTCCAAAACAAATGAAGTAGATACCTATCAGGCATCGTTTAGTGAAAGAGAACAGGATTTTGAAAGTATCAAAAAATTTGAGCCAAGCATGGTTTTGAACATGCCCAGAGGCATATTTTTTCTCCCTCAAAATCAATGCTCCACCTAAAATATTCAGTATGAAAAAAATGTTTTTGTTAGTTTTTTTTTACTTGAACTTGAAAGAATTAAACTTCAAAGGCAATTTGCGTTGTTTCAAACCCATGTCATTCTGTTCTCTTTTACTATGATCATTACCCTTGTTGTCTGGAAAACCCAAGAGAATTTTAATATTTATTTTCTCATTTGAGTTTTGGATTTTTGGCATCAAGAAACAGTTTCTCTTTCGGTGCCAATTTTTTCCGTCAGACAACTTTATGGGAGGACAGCAAGTACTCGGTTAAAATCTTTAGTAGTCTATTCATCTGATTATTCAAACAAGTATTTATCCAACGAGTTCCACATGAATCAGGAAAACTTCTTCATCGACAAAAATATCTCAGACTCATTGTGAGCCTCCTTTGGATTAATATTTCTCCCGCTCTAAGTATCGAGATTCATGGACCCTCCCCCTCATTTTTTCTCTTTATAGTCATGAGATACGTACCGGTTACCATTTAGTACCAATTACCATTACTAGAAGCACTCATCTGAGCTGAGGTCCTGTGCCAGCTGCTGATACCGCTGACCTCCCGGCATATTCATATGCAATGCAAATACCCTACCTTTCAGGAGCTATCGGACTCTGGTGCTGAGTGCTGATTGGCTGATGGCGGTGTCGTAGATTCCTAACCTCAAATTGACGTTGTCGCACTTTGATATGTTGATTGATAGTGGAAAATTTTCGTTTTCGTATCACCGAGACTGTGTATTTTGTGTCGCGATTGTTAGTTTTTTTATTTTTTAAGAATTTTAGAAAACTTCTTTCGATTACAAGTAAGTTTTGCAGCCTTACAATGACTTTTCCACGAATTTTCCGGGGGTAACGTGGCAGGTGAATGATCAATGAACCAACAGAGGACATCAGAATACCATTACAAATGTTTACATAAAATTCTCCCTTTCAAGCGCAATTTTCTCATTCCATGTACTCAGGCGTACTTTCATGTTCGCTTTCTTTCAGGGAAGTTACCTTCAGTCATTCAAGACTTTAATTTCGCCTATTGAAAACTGTCACTCTCTTCCTCTTTGCAAGGTTAAAGACCTCTTCATCCGCGTAGGAAACAAGACACACTAGCTCTCAGCTTGTAGCAACATTGATTGCCTTTACTCTGATATTGCCGTTCAAACCTGTTGAACTCGTTAATCATTATGTTGCTGTACTTTTTTATTCTTGTGTGATAATAACAGAGACAAAAGTACTTATCAATGTTAAGGTTATGTTCACGACTACACTCTGCTTGTCCCGAGACAAACCATAACATACTGCCCTGAAGATTACACTATACTTCTATGCCCTAGTGCAACAAAAATCTATACTAACAATTTTAGAAAGAAGCTTTTTGATGGAGCAATCCATTGGTAACTTTATTCTAAGTAAGCCTAAGCATTTATTTCCTCTATGATGCTGGACAGCTTCCTTTGTATCCATCGTAGAATCCATGCCAAATTATATTATGCATTTCTAGAATGCGACAGAAAATTTTCTGACATCATTTTTACATGAAAAGAAACTGCAAGAAGCAAGATGGCGGATCTTCTGTTGCAGTCTAAAAATGCGCAAGCTTCTTTGGCGTGAACTCTACCTATTAGTTAAAATTGTTTCATTTGCTTTTAACCTCATTTAAGCTGTTCGAAAATGGAGGCTCAGATTTTCAAAGAATGCACCAAAGATTCCACTATGAAAATTTACGATCAGTCCCCTTTGCACCATTTAGGGATTAGCATAGTGTATGCATTAAGTAGATTATACAGAAGGCATTTTTTATTGACTCCATCCATCCTAGATCAGTTCAATGATTCAAGCACAACCTGTAAACAATGAATTTAGCTTGTTACAAATTCTGCCCCTTGTTCATCAGATGTTGGCTTCCGCATTTAAAGTGCTACAATTCTGCTTTTGTGGCTCACATAGGACTGATTCTGTTCATTTCTCACATTCCATTCATGTTTTCTCAGTGCATTGTAACATCTCATTGTTTGTTTTTTGTTCTTTAGTTACTTCATAAAAATATCATTCAATCACCATGCAGACTATCAAGTGTGTTGTCGTTGGAGATGGTGCTGTAGGTAAAACCTGCCTCTTAATATCATACACAACCAACAAATTTCCATCAGAATATGTGCCAACTGTATTTGATAACTATGCAGTCACAGTAATGATCGGTGGGGAACCTTACACTTTAGGACTATTTGATACTGCAGGTAAGTTAATTCCTCTTTCTTTGGTGTGAAGTGAGAAAACATTGCGTGTTCTAGAAATAGATGCAAGCCTCATCAATGCATGCACTAGTTAAGGTTTAGTCACTGACATGCCCCATATAACCATGTTGATTCTCACGACTAGAGGTCGTAAGGATGAACTTACCCAAAATCAACCTTACTACATCGGAAGTTGCCTATAGTACTTATCCTAATTTTTTATTTTTTCGAGAAATTTCAACAACATTCTGATGAGGAATTTTGCAGGTTTTTTTCTTTTTAACATTCGTTAAATTCTCATGAATTTTTAAGGCAGTAAATATGTTTCTTAGTTTCCTGTCAAAAAATCAAAAATGTTGCAAAAACTAGGGTTTTAAGTCACCAAAAAAATGACTGGAAAAATTATTTTTATAAACCTCTGTTATGGTTCTATTTACCTCAGCAACTTAACAGTTGTTATCATTAACCAAACTTTCATTCACACTGTTTGCCTTTATTATTTATTTCAGGTCAAGAGGATTATGACAGATTAAGGCCTCTTAGTTATCCGCAGACAGATGTTTTTCTAGTGTGTTTTTCAGTCGTGTCTCCCTCATCATTTGAAAATGTCAAAGAAAAGGTATGGCTGATTTTTCTCCCCTTCCATAGTGTTTAGTAATGATTCACTAATTAGCCCTCCAGTAGTCCAAAACCTATAAGTTGTTTCAACTTCCTATTAGGTAGATCGGTTCTGATGTACGTAGATTCATGTGATATCTATATATGTAGTTCTGGCTTGCTACATTTTGTCCCATAGATTATTAAGAGGCTTGTAAACTTCAGCGGAAAAAATGTTTTGCCTGCCACCAACCGCCATCTCAGTTATCATCTAGTTACCTGAAAAAAGGTAAAAGTAGCGAATTCCAGAGAGAACATGAACGCGGTTCAAACAAGCAAGCGGAGCATCAGACTTGTAAAAGAGGACTACTTAGTTTCAAAAAATACATCTGTTGTTTCTCTTTAGACTGCAGGGTTGCTAATTGCCAAATGCCTGTGCACTCTGCCCCTTCTCCACGGAGACCAATGCAAGCAGCCATGCAGACCTCATCTTTAAAGTTCATTTTAATAGATGATGTTCTTAACAACCTCCTGAAGATTTACCACTGAGATTTTAAAATCAAACTTTCAATATTGAAAGAAGCATGGCTTAAAAGTTTGTCAAAGAAGGCTGCTCCAGTAAAAGTCAATCACTGTTTTTAAGATTCATAAAATATTTGTTGAATCCTCTCACATGATTTTTTTTTAGATCCTTCACAAAAAATTGGCTGTACCAGAGCCTAATATTTTTATTGCTTCTTGTGCCCTATGCACCGAGTTGTGCAGATATTCCTAGACCATGCCTGGACTACTCTGCCACCCTTCTAGCTTATCTTTTTCAATGAGCCCTTTTTCCACTCTGTTGATCAGAGGTCAAAGACTTAGTGTGGAGACTTTGGTCTGAGCACTGATAAGGGAACCATTTTGGGATTGATTAATTCTTGTACTTAGGAGGTTTCTAGAATTTATTAAAGACAGTCCAAAATTTTTTTGTACCGTTTTCAAAACAACCAGTGTTTCAGTAAAAAAAAAAATTTAAAAATGATATTTTTTAATTGATTCCTTTTATTTTTGTCTCTCTAATTGCAGTGGGTGCCAGAAATTTCACATCACTGTCCAAAAACACCATTTCTTCTTGTTGGAACTCAAATCGATTTGAGAGAAGATGCCGGAACCATCGAAAAACTTGCGAAGAATAAGCAGAAACCCATATCATTCGAGCAGGGAGAGAAACTGACTAAAGAACTCAAAGCTGTAAAATATGTTGAATGTTCAGCATTAACACAGGTACTTAATGGTGTTAAACAATACTTAGTTTAGTGAGGAGGACAAATCAAAGGGATTGTTCATCTTGAACGTTTTAAAATCTAGCAAGAGATTTGACCACCAACTTTTGTAGCTATGGTGAGCACTACGCAAGCATAGCAGTCAGAGGCAGTGCAAATCATTGACTGTTAGAATTTAACTTCTGATTGTTTATCTATTTAAGATGGTCCAACATTGATATTGTATCTTTGACAAACGCATGACTTGAAGGACAAATCCTTGTTGGTAAACTTTCTTTTAGGTATTTCATTTTAAAAGAATAAATACGTTTTTTTTTTTCTTTTTTTTCTTTTCAAAGAAGATGCCCCGACAGAAATATAAATGTAAAATAAAAATATAAATAAGGCGAAATGAAAAACACACACAAATGACACAGAAATGTGATATGAGGGAACCGATGAAATGGACTTCAAATGAATGTTTGAAAATTTGAGTTCACCATCATTGAAAAAATGCTCTTTTTACTTCAAGTTTTGAGAAACATATCTTAGTCTTCATTTCAGCAAATGTATTGTGTGCCAAGGAATAAAAACATGAATATGTTAGAAAGGGGACAAACGTCTTCTTTAATTTATTAATTTAGATCTCTAAAATTTTTACCTTTTGTAGCGGAAATTCTAGATGCCATTCTTGGCCATTCATAAACCATATCACACACTAGAGGAGAGAAAAGTAAAAACCTCTGCATGAAATTTTTAGGGGAGGACTCAGACTTGAATGTTAGGTGCACATCACAAGGCAAGCGAGGTCTAAAATTCCAAGTCTCACCATAACATACTTTATAATCATGCTTGATCTCTAATGACATGATACTTGATCACTAATGACATGATAAGAAACACCAGAAACCCCTTCATAAATTTTGAAATTGTTTGTTTGAAGGTCGTTGAACAGTCCGTGTCACATTCTGCCATTAGGCTCTTTAATGATCTTCCACTGAAATTAAGAAAACTATTGAAAGACTGGGAAGTTAACGCTTTTTTCAAGGGGTTAAAAACTTTACAAATTTATAAGGCATTTTATTCTCTAAGTGATTTTTATAATGATGTTTAAAAAGTAAATTTTGGGGGGTTTTCACTGACAAGTATGCTTCGGCATTATGTTTGTGTCATTCATATACACTAATGTAAATAAAATATAAAGCAATTAAACCACCCATTTCAAGCATTTGATTTTTTTCGTCCCTTATTAGATGGAGGGACACATGTTCATTTAAAATTACAAATGTATCTTATATTGATGTTCTTTTGTTTTCTTTCCAAACTACAGAAAGGATTAAAGAATGTTTTCGATGAAGCAATATTGGCAGCGTTGGAACCTCCAGAACCTGTTAAGAAAAGAAAGTGTTGTATACTTTGATTTCACATCTCATTTTCAGGTAGGCTTGGTCAATTTTGTTCTTCGCTTGTAATTTCTGATAGTCCACATAACACCAGATTTGGTCCTAAGTTAAAAAGTAAATTTCCCTCATGAAATGAGTATAGAAATAAAACGAAGTTGCTAAACATTTTAAAAATTTACCACTGAATAAAAATGGACCATGATGGGTCTTCAGTTTAACCCCCCAAAAAATCCAGTAGAGAGGTTTGGAATTTGGAAATTTTCAACCAATACTTTTTGAAAAGGTCTATCAAAATTTTTAGTGCTTTTTTTAGAGCTGAAACAGGTCTTTAAAACTGTATTGTATATCATCAGATGTGATTGATTTTAAATTCAAGTTTTGCAATAAATTGTTTCTTTTTTTACTGAATATGTAGTCACAAGTTATGTGTATCTATAATACTTCCATCATCACCGGCTGTATGAGAAAGCTGTTTGGAATGAAAAACTTCGTTTTTCGTCTTTTGATGGTAAATACCTTCCAAAAATGTCAAAAACATTGGGTCAAAGTTTCGAGCCATAATTTTTATTATGAATGATGTTATAAGTGTTTGAAGGAAATTGTTTCAAAGACTGACAACAACCAAATAGAAAGAAATGAAACAATTTTGAAAAAGCAAGCTAATGTACCATGTACCAAGCTAATGTCTAATACTCTTCCTGCAAGAAAAACGATTACCTCATAAAAACTTCTGCTTTTTTGTGAGCTCATTTAATTTCCTCTTCTTTTGTGTGTAGAATTGCAGATAACAAATTTTTTGTTTTCTATTTTCAGTGTTGTGGACTTGTAACGATCCGTCCCTCATCATGATGAAAATAGCAATGACTCTAACTTACAATGCAGCTTTTATCAGTGTGTTAAAGCCCCAGTCCCAAGTAAAGATTTTCTTGAATCTGTTGCGGACAATACCAAGGTGAAAGCAAACAAAATTGTCATGAAAATATTTCAGGGTTTTTTAAGTTTGAAATTTTAGAGGAAACGACAATTCTGTTTGAGATTATTTTGAAGCTAGATTGGTTTTTTAAACTTAAAGTTTTCTAGTGTCAGTCAGTGAGCAATTCTCTTTCACTGCTCTCATGCCAATAGAATCAATGCGCCAGTTCATGGCCTTTATCCTTTATCAATCTTGAGTCGTTCATTAAACACAATTGTCGAACTAAGTGACACCATCAGTCTGTGAAGCAGAGGGTTGAAGTAAAATTTCTGGCTGAATCAGCACCATGAGCAGGATAATGAGGAATTTTTTATGGAAGAAAGAAAACCAAAAAACTTAGTAATTTGAGTGCTGTCGATAATCTCTCGAGAAAAAGGCAAAACCTACTACAGCCCTCCCTCCTTTACCTGATTTTTCCTATATTAGACATCATCCAAGTGTTCCCACAAGAGACACCCAGCACTTTTTCCAACAGTCACCAGGCAAGGCTTTTTTCCCCACTATCAAATATTTAAAAAAAATTCTCTCAGCAGTTTAGTTTTTCTTTCTCTCTTTCCTTTTTAAATCCTCTAATCCATTTTGAAAGCCAATATTTTACATTATCTTTCTGAAAATTTGAGAGCAAAACATAAGGATTAAAAAGTAGCACTATTTATTAGAACGCACTAACAATAATCAAATCCTGGAGGCACGAACAATGATAAATAGAAGTTAATTTATACTGTAACTATAACTAAAACTTCATTGAAAACTTTAGTCAGCAAGCAAGCACCACTCTAGAGTTCTGGCCAAATTACTCAACCAACGTCTATAGTAAGACAAAGATGTCTTCATTGGAATATTGAAACTAGATGCTAGAGTCAAAATAGTAAATTTCCATTTTCTCTCATAGAAGTATGTCAACTTTTTTGGTTTGAACTCTAGCACGAATTGCCTCAAGTAAAAACTTACACAAGTGTACTCTGGCAATATCTGATCTTGCAGCCCAATAGATGAAGGTAGTTAATTGCTTCAAAGATAGATTTGACAATGAGATCTGTTGATTTTGTACATTAATTTCAGTCTTACCATCAGAAACCATGTTAACAAGCAAGTTTTTACCATGAAACTGAGCAGAATTCATAGCATGTAAAATCTACCTATCTCTTCTTTTTTTCTTAATTAAGTCGTATTTTAAACTTTATTTTTTTCATCTAGGCACTTTTCCGTGTATTTTCTTGCGTTTTGGAGTTTTATGAAATTATATCTGCAATCATTTTAACCTTACTTTTTTCTTCTGTTTTTTATTTGGCTTTTTGAGTAGGGAGAATCTTTTACTGCTTTGACTTTCTTTCTTTGTGTTTCTGTAGAAGTACACTCCAAGATTATCTTTTGTTTTTTAAATTTAAATTTTATCCATTTTTAAGTTGTATTTTGGCCGCATACAATCAACTTTCTTCATTTGAACATAAAAATACACTTGTGCACAACTGAGATAGGTTTATTTGTAATTAGTTTCGGAATCCCTCTTTGAAAGAAATATTTGTATGCACAGCAACTTTTTTCATACTAATATCACCTATATCCTCAGGACCTATCAATGTTCAAGCTTAAAATTTTTGTTTTTGAACATTGATCTCCTTTCTTTTTCGGGAAAAACCCGTATAATGTATTATTCAACATCACTGTTCAGCATACAGACCAGGAAAAGGTTCATGTGCAACCATCCACAGAAAAAGGACCTCAGTCTATGTAGACCGAATGTTCAACGCAGCAATTTTTGTCGTCGAAAAGAGAATTTGGAATTTGACAGAAATCCGATTTTGATAGATTTTCCCTCCATAACTCCAAAAGAATCAATTTTGAGCGGGGTATTTCATTTTTATGCAAATGGAGGGTGTAAAGATGCATCATAATCCAGCAATTTTGGGCTGCAAACAAGAGAAATTAGAATCTTGAACGACTTCTCAAAACTTTGTTTTTGGAATAGCAAACTTCAAATTAGCACAACTGTGGTTCGATTTGACTATTGTGGGCATTTTTGATCCAAAAAATTCATAGGAAACTCCTTTAGCCTCTGAAACTCATCAGTAATTCAACATTAGATATTTTTTTCTCCTGACTAAAGTCCTTGCCCCTGTGGACGGTCACATATTAATGTAGCTAAATTTTGTTCTTATCCTTTTTATTTTTTTTCCCTCCTCTCTGATTATTTTGATTTTTTTTCATTCTCTTTTGAAGCCATAATTATCTCAAAAAAATCAAATTTAGTTTACAGAAAACTCCTTTTCACCTGTGTGAAGAGTTAAGATGGTTTTTGTAACGCCTCAAATCGGCTATTTTCATTTTAATTTTTTTACTGCTAGAGTTTAACTGTGTTAAACAATATTTGATGAGACCAACTTCCTCATATTTCAAACAAAGAACACACTTTTGTACGTATTTGTAAATAGATCTAATTCTAAAGGGCCATACATATGTTAAGTAACAAAACATTGAATCTATGTAACAATCATTGCATCCTGATTGACTATTCTCTACTTTCCTTAAAGCAACATTTTTCCCTTCACCAAACAAATCTGTATTGGTTAAACTAAACTAAATCTCCCATGTCAACCTCCTCTAAGAAGAAATTGTGGCTGAAAGGAGTCAAGAAAGCAGGGTTTACCAGAAACTTGGTCCTAAATAATTTGAATCTCTTCCCTCAATTATAAAATGAGCCATTGGAAGAAGAACCCCACTTCATCATATTCCTTGGTAAATGTGAAATTTTGTCAGGCACATTGTCCTGCAGCTCAAGAGGACTGATTTGTGGAACGAATTTTGCCAATTTTAGAACTTTAGGTAATGATTTTGAAATGCATTATCCTTATCCTTGTAGATAGCCTAATTTCAACAAGTTGGTAGAATCTTATCTTGCGTTGGAGGATTTTCCTAACAGCTCTTTTAGAAGGACTTAGGTCCGTTCCCCTTTAAACCCTGCTTTTCAGAGACCTTAAAATCACAAATTTCCCTTGAAACGACCATGGCATGGATGGTTTAGATCACTCTATAGAGCTCAATTATTTACACTTAAATCTGAATCTAAAAAAACGAACCTAATCAGTATAGTTAATTTTTATTATATATTTTCCGACACATTTTTTAATTTTTTTTCTTTTTTTGAATTTCATCTCTTCATCAACATGATTTTGATAGAAAATATTTTTAAAACTCAAATTTAATAAGTCTCCTTTTGCTCTTCAGTTTTTAAAAACTGTGTGTCATACTTAAGTAAATGATTTTTTCACCTAATAGTTTTAAAATGAAGACTTTACAAAATCACATTTTAAATGGGTGATTTGCGTAAGTACATTAATATATAAGTTTTTTAATTTCACTTAAAAAGGAGCTTTGAAGAAATAAATCAACAGGTATCTACTTTTTAATATTTTAGAAATCTAATAAAAGAATGTTTGTATTTTGAAAAACTACTTCTGTTCCCTTTTTTCATGTTTAGAACATACAGGCAATTTTTCGGTACTTTTTTATTCGCCTACCCTACATACCCTCTGATTTTTGTACTTTAATGCATTTAATCTCTCTATTTATTTATTGCATTGTATGTATTTAAAAATGTATTAAATTATTTTTGTACCAAACTAATTTCATTTCGTATGCAATTTTTCCCCCTATTTTTGATAGCAAAGAAGGTGCACAATCTTGGTAGCATTATTACAATACATTTGGTACTGGGTTCCTTTCTTTTGAACGCAGGTCACATTAATCTCATCAGTTTATACAACAATCAGTCAAACTTAAGTCAACGTCATTTCTTGAAAATTTCCTCCATTTTTCGTCTCTGTGTGAAGAATATTTTGTGAAAATTTCAAACAACACAGTCTCCTTGCCGACAACCAATCGCACAACATTTTTTTTTTTTTGTTTTTTGGCAGGTATGTGAGTAATATGAGAATACAACTATTCCTTCCGAACACTTGCTTTTTTCTACCTTCTCAATTGAAGGCAAACGTGAAGTCCTCGTGGCATAATACGGCAGGAGCTCAGAATTAACTTTCAGCTTTCAGTACGCCCAATATTCGGCCCAAAATTTTACTCCATAGAGAGGCGGGAGATTAATTTATAACATACTTTACCCACAAACACAGTCAACCAGGGCCGGATTAAGGGGGTGGCCACATGGGTCGCGGACCATGGCGGCAAATTTTGCAATCTTTTTGAATGTAGGTATCAAAGAAAGAGAGAAAAAAATCGGATTCAGAAAATAAATTACAAACGAGGAAAGGCGACAAAATCTCTCATTTCCTGAGAGTAAAAGTATAGTAATTTCTAATTTTGTCGTCTTTCGGTGATACAAGAGACAGCACCTTTAATTAGTCGAGTTAAGAGAAAAACCAAACACGCAATTTGACCTAGAACGGCACGGCGGTCGGCATGAAACACATATCGCCTACAAGACCGCATGAATACTTCACGCATTGCGTCAAACACACTGCGGTCAGCAGCAGTCGGCTTGAAACGCATAGCGCCTACAAGACTGCGCGAATACTTCACGCATTGCGCCAACACGGTGCGGTTGGCGCGGCGGTGGAAGTTAAAATTATTAACCACATTTATGTTTGTTCTTTCATAATTTTTTCGTTCGTTTTTTATAAATGGAAGGCCTTGTCCAAACAGGGATGGGTTTACGGAACTGATCTTTGGTTAGTGTTGACAGGGCTTTCACAAAAAATGTGCCCAACACCAGTAAATGCGTCGTATACACCCCTCCCCCGCCGGCACTTTTACTTGATGATTTTTATAGATCGTATTCGACAGATCACACAGGTGAGATTATATTGATATCGATTGGTTCAATGTGTAACCACAGCCTCAAAAGTCAATTCAGAAATCTGAGGTAACGGGTCTTATGTGATCGAATTTTTATTCTCTCGAATACCAAATGGCAATGAAAAGTGAAATTGTTAGGAATTTTCTCATTTTCAGCGTTTCCAAATTAAATCCTGAGTTATGTTCTATTGTTTTGAACCAAACGATACATTGAACCACTGTCGAATACGATCTATTGATGTTTCAAAACAAATGAGAAGGGGGCGGAAATTCCAGTGGAATTTATGCTTTATATCTCTCCCCCCCCCCAACCCGGCCACTGTGCTCCAAATATTGTGCGAAAAAGAATTATAAACATTTTCTTGTTACATGTTTTTGCTGATGTAGCACCCTGTGACTACGAAATCGAATTGAGGTAATTTTTTATCCCACCTCCCAACCGTTTAGATCGCGAGCTATGGCTTGTCAAAGGTAGCCCCGCGCTGTTCGCATATCCTCCACGCGTCTGCCACCGATCCTGTTGCCCCTCCTCCCCCATACTAAATGCAAATTAACATTCTACTACCCAGCTTTCGTATATATCTGCGTTATAGGTACGTGAAAATTTCAGCAAGTTCGTGATTTCCAGTGGAATTGATGCTTTATTTCCCCCCCCCCCCCCAACCCGGCCACTGGCACTGAAGTGTGCCCCTGCCAACAACGAAATCATTTTATATTTCTCAAAGCTATGTGGAGAAAAATCGTGCGAAATATTTTTTAATTCCTCAGCAGCCTATTATGAATACCCATAATAATGTCGGCCTCTCATGAATGGTAAACGCTCAATACACCGAAAAGTGGTTGGGAGGTGGGATAAAAAATTACCTCAATTCGATCTCGTAGTCACAGGGTGCTACATCAGCAAAAACATGAAACAAGAAAATTTATATATTTCTTTTTTGCACAATATTTGGAGCACAGTGGCCGGGTTGGGGGGGGGGAGCGAAATAAAGCATCAATTCCACTGGAAATCACGAACTTGCTGAAATTTTCACGTACCTATAACGCAGATATATACGAAAGCTGGGTAGTAGAATGTTAATTTGCATTTAGGAAGGGGGAGGAGGGGCAACAGGATCGGTGGCAGACGCGCAGAGGATATGCGAACAGCGCAGGGCGCGCGCGCTCAGCGCGGGGCTAACTTTGACGAGCCATAGCTCGCGATCTAAACGTTTCCCCAAGATGCGGTTTTTTGCATCTTGTAGGAAATTAAGTGTAGAATCTAAAAAACTGGTTTTTGTTTTAGTAGAGTCATTGCGCGGTGCCGAAACACGACAAAATTGAAAATTTTGTCCCCTAAAAAATTGAAAAATTGCTAAAAATTTGCATTAAATTTAACTTTTTTTCAATTTTTCTGGTATCAGCAGATAGATCTTTTTGAGATCTTTCATTTAAAAAAAAGTTCAACTCAATCCGATTTTTCGCTCAAAAGTTATAGGCAGTTGAAGGTTTTGTCTTTGACCCCCCGCTCCCCCTCTCTGGGGGGGCCTAAGTCAAAATGACCGCCATATTTGAACGTCTCGCATGCTACTGTATCACTCTTGAAAAGATGGATCATATTTGATAGGGGGCCAAATCTAATGGGGGATGGAACAACCTCTTTTTGCTAGTTCGAGGAGTATGTGTTTGAAGTTTCGAAATTCTATGGATCCTCATGGCTGAAAGTAAGTTTAAACTTATTTCTTGATGCTTAAAAATTGGAATTTTCACAGAATATGCATTAAGTCTAGTTTTACTTCAAACCATTAATATCTCATTTTTTCAGAAACTGCACTCATGCGCTTTGTCCTTCAAGCCGCTCAACTATTCTACCTCCCGAGTACCCGCTTTGACCTACCCTCTCGATTGAAGGCAAATCTGCCATCCTCGCGGCGTGGCATAATGCAGAAGAAACTCGGAATTTTTTTACCCGTCTACGCACCCAATATTTTACACAAAAGTGAGATAGTTGAAGTTCTGACTCGTGCTTTAGGTACCACACAGTCAACCAAATAATCACGAGAGCAGAGCGAGCACAACCTCGCCACCAACCGACCGAAAGTTAATATTCTCGCCACATGCATAATGTGCGAATACAACCGTGCCACCTCTTGAGTACCTGTCTTTGCCTACCTTCTCAGTTGAAGGCAACCCTGACGTTCTCGCAGTCGGCGCGACTGTTTGCGTCCTCATCCTGAATTAAAATAAAATGGAAAAAGTACTATTTTAAGTAAAAAGTGATGCCAAAATGATGATGCAAAGATTGAGCTGAAAGCCAATCTATAGTATAATAAAATTATTGGCGGTCCATCGCACAGTGGATCGAGTCAATCAGAGAGCTCGAACATGAAATGCTTCACTAAAGCTTCAAATTTTGATATGTAATTTGTCAAATTTTGAATTTTAAAGGGTGCCTGGCTTACAAAGTTTCACGAGGAAACCAATAAACCCACTTTGAAAACCTCATAGTTTTGGATGAACGGAGTTATAAGCTTTTGAAGTCTCCAAATTTTGTCTGACCTCTCTCATTGGATCGATCCACTATGTGCGCCGTGACCTTGGGATTCTAGGTCCCCAAACACCCCTCCCCCTCCAGTGTTTTCAAAATCGTGCAACTTCTTCTTTCCTTTTAAAACTACTCTATAAAAGTACACATTAAAATTTACACAATTATTTTTCTTTAAAATTCAAAACTTATTGGTAGGAAGCAAAATCTATTTGCTATTCTGAGAAATTTTTTAGATAATCATGAAGAAGCAACATTTTACAATACTGTATTCGCGCAGGTTCCTTTTTGCTAAATGCGATCCACATGATGTTGGCATCCCAATGTAAAAAGTAATCATGAATGATCGCTGATCTGATGAAATTGCATGGTCACTGATGTGAACGAGTACTTGATGTCACACATCCAATCCATCGAGGTAATTGTTAGCCTCTATTTTTCAGAGATGGCAAAACATGGGAGAAGGGACACTGCGGAGTGCCCCCTTTAAATAAAAAAAATGGGAAAGATCACGAAGAAAAAGGAACTTAAAGAGACGGAGAAAGAACCATAAACAGTAAAACAAGCAACAGGCCGTTTGGCCCTGGATCACCCTGTATATTCGAGGGGAAGACATAATCTTCATACTTCATCTCTCGTAATTTAGTGTAAAATGTTGGGTATATTTACAGTTGAAAGAATTCAAAACCCCTGCCGCATCATACCGTGAGGACGTAATGTTTGCCTTCAATTGCGGAAGTAGGCAAGAGCGGGTACTCAGGAGGTGGTATAGTTGTATTTGCACCTTGCTAACCTTGCGCACCTTGGCGGTAAGGCCTCGCAGAAACTAATGTATTTTGACGACTGCTTATGGGGAGAGTATTGTTGACTCTACATCTCTCTTCGTCTTTGGTGGAGTCAGACAAAAGACCCTTGGGAAGGAAAAAGAAAAAAAAATGAGGAAGACACCGTAGTTAGGACCTGACGGCTGAACCTAACGGCAATCGGCTAACAGCGTAAACCCTTTTTTTTTATCGAGCGATTATCCTCGATCTTATCGCGATAAAATCGCAATTTTTTCGGGCCGATGAAATCGCAATAAAATCGCAAAAAGATCGAGGATAATCGCTCAGATGTTGATGATCCTAGCGATTTTATCGCCGATAAAATCGTAAAAAAAATCGCAATTTAATTGCGGAATATCGTGATTTTTCCATTTTTTTAGCATTTTCATTTGAAAAATGCTCCTTGGGTCCCGCTATAGTATCACATAAACTTCAACATTTGGATTACATTTTGCAATAAGGAACCACTATTTCCGCAGGCCCATTTTCTAGAAACAACATACATGGTATTCTACCGTGCTAAGGAAGAACGCCGTATGAACATTCGAGGGTTGCCTAGTTTCCTCCAATAAAATGTTCATTTTTGAGGAGAATTGTGAATATTTTCTCTTGAGATTTTCAGATAATTCAGATCTGGCTGAGAATGAAATTCTCTGAAAAATTGGGGGGGGGGGTCCTCACAGATTTCCCTATAAATTCGTATTTTATACAAGGAAATTTGGCAACGCCTGGTGGTTCATACGGCGTTCTTCTTCAGCACGGCAGTATTGGTTTCCCTACGTAGATATGTATGCTTTTATGGAAGAGCCGAAGATAGTGGTTCCTTCTTGCAAAATGTAATCCATTTGATGGCTGTCTTGCTCTACTCCACAACAGCAGCTGAAAAGCCTCGTCGGCTGGAATTCACTCGCCGATTGTGAGTGCAGGAAGTGAAAAGTAGTGTAGCTGGCGGCAGTATTAAGTAAACCATGTCATTTGGTGGCGGAAAAATGCTTATGATGCGATCAGCAACTCGATCCATGCTCGTCCACTCTTTTCCCGTCCCACTGAAATTGCCCAATGCTTCAGCTATGCGACAAACGATGCATTGTTTCGATTATGCAACCCACCGCCTGGTGTCTTCGAATTAAGTCATGCAAACCGACCGAGAAAATTTCACGAGAAAAAAACTATGAGCCGAGGCCTACTTTCCTTCAGACGTCGCCAAGAATAGAACCGAGAAAAATCGCTATCTCTGAGGAAGAAATTTTTCCTCGTGTTGTAATTATCACTATAAGGGTACGTGTGAGGAAAGTATATAGCACAAATCAAAAACAACAGGACAAACATTTGAAGGAAAAGAAGGGATTCAAAATTTTCATTTCAAACATGAAGGACTCAATGTAATAGATCTGATCATCAGGTTATGCCTTGGATACCCAATCAACTTTATCATCCATTTTGCATGAGTTGCAATACATTCCTGTTTCACAGTAAAATTATTACGTCGGCATTGGAATATATGTTGCCTACCATCTGGCTTGAAGGGGCTTCTCTAATCGAAATGGATTACCTTAAAATGTATCTATGTTGCAGTTTTTCTTTGCATTGTAAATTGCTTATCTTTCGTCTGATCGTCTAATAATTTAAAACTGACATTTACTGACCAAATGATGTTGAAATATTGCAAGAATTATATGACAAAAAAATTGCCGCTTCGTTTAAATATTTCTGTCGCAAGATGCTAATAATTAATTAAGGGCTGTGATTTTTTGGGAGGCAATACCACCGTTTATCTTTGCATCACTTTTGGCTCCCCCTTTTTTCTCTTTTTTTAATGTGACCCTGTTTTTTCCTGGCTACCGATTTCATGTATGTTAACGTAACATCGAGTCTTTAATATGGACCCCTTTTGTGAGTACTCTAGGGCATTGGGTCAAGTCGGCTTCAGTTTTAAGTGGTTTGAGATCAAATGAAAAATAAACTTCGAAAAAATCCTACAGGCCGTGAAAACGTGTTCTTTTCGAAGAAATTATGCCGCGATTTCCACTGGTAAAGTGATCTTACTGTTTTCGTGGTGGCACCATTAAACCGCGATCAGTTTGGATTTTAGGAAGTCTAATTTTGTAATCGCGGCCTACATTGGACACGCCGCTCAAAGTGGCTGGTCAATCAGTCGTGTTTGTATTAATAAATCAATTCCCTTTCCTTACATCCTGACAATAGGCATTATACACTCTTGAGCGCTCTCCTTGATTCACTCCCATTTCATCGCTCTCTCACTAAATGAATGGAAATTTGATGAAGAAATTGAAGTCACCCACGGGCATTAATGTTCAGTGGCAAAATAGTCTTTTTTCCTGATATATGCCAGTGCATTGAACAATCGTTACTGCAAAATTCACGCGTGGGAAATTCTGCCAGCATTGTAAAAGCTGTAACTATTTCTGCTCGAACTGCGAATTAATTTCTGGAAATCCCTTTCCTGCTGCAGGTACCCTGTAGGAAAGAAGGAAGGGTGCAGACGTGTACCACTATCCCCAGTTAGAAGATGAAGCACTAGCACGGACCAAAAAAGGAATTGAAAGAAAATATTCCGGGAGCCCTCACCGGAAAATTGGAGCTATCGGAAAATGCATCTGTCTTTTGGAAATTACTCAATACGCGATTTGCACCAATTGAGGTGAAATTACATGATCAGTTAAATTTACAATATCCTCCTTTATTTCTATTAGATAACCCCTTTGTTTTACGAATCTCCAGATTTACGCAGTATAACATTAAAATTTGTGTAGGATAAAAATCTGGAAAATGATTACGCGATTGAAAAATGCTGCGAGCAACTATTACTGCTCCTAAGCCACCCAAGTTGCCTACATCAAGGTATTGAAGGCAAACCAGTTTGGGCGAGTGGCTAACAACAACGTGAGTGGAGTCCAATAGAGTATTAATCCACTAATGCCTAATTAATAAAGCGAGGCTCTCTAATTTGAAATTTGGAGAACTAACTCAAAAATGACTCAACTACTTGCAACTTATTTATTAGAAAAATTTCCCTCAAAAACCCAAATTCAATTCCTTAGACTAAACTCGTGACAGTCGTGGAGATTTTAGACTCCGTGAACAAAAGTCTTTTTTCCCCTCGAAGAGCTGCAAAAATTCATTTTATAAAAAATATGTTTAATTTTTCAAGGTTTCACACCCAGATCTTCCCGAACAAAAGTTTACGAATAAAAGAAAACTTTTTCCAATTTTGGTATGAGATTTACGTTTTTTCTTGCGGGTTCCGTAGAATTCACAGGAACTCTCTAGCTTGGGCCGCCTATGGTCAGTATGCTCTACCTCAGAAAATTTTAAAATTAAAGCTGCTCTGAAAAAAAAAAAAGATTGGTAGCATTAACCATTCCTTCACGCTGTGTGAAATAAATACAGCGTGAAGGAATGGTAAATTCTACCAATCTTTTTTTTCAGTGTGTGTCGACAGTTAATAAAACATACTTTTTAAACTTCGAATATTTGAAAATATAGCCCGATTACATGTTAAATAGGTCAATGTTCTGCACAGTTATGAGGAAAGAGGCCCAAGACTCCTTCAGATATTTGATATTAAATTGGAAACAAAATTGGCTGAAAATTTTGAAGAAAAATATCCGACAGTATCCTTAAAAATTCGTATTTTATTGATGGAAATGTGGCAACGCCTGACGGCTCATACGTCGTTTTTCCTTAGCACGGTAGAGTTAGTGAATGGTCTGCGGAGACTTTCAGCTTGAGAGTAGCCCAAAAATTTCGAAGAGCCCTATAGAGTGAAAAAAACAGACAAGCTGTTTTAACCTTTTTATTTGACCATTTTCATGATGATTTCAATTCCACCCTTTTCATACTTTGAGCCCCTGTAGACCCGCGCCTGTGTCAAAGGAACAGCCGCTCGCCTTTACGAATTGAAGTGGCTTTTGTTGGAGCCTATGGAGGAAGGAAGATCCGAACGCAATGGAGACCGAGGCGCACGGCAGCCAATGAGCTTGCAGCTAGGGGGCGGAGCCTAGGCGAAGCTGTCACTCATGTCATGATGGCTCGGCCTAATCTGAGCCCCCTCGTTTTCAATTCTTCAGTCCACTGCCCAGCTGTCATAACACTTCTCGTCCCGTAATTTGTGTACCCGATCACCGCGTGTTTAAATAACAATCCCACATCATATTTTGAGATTTTTTTGCATCTGCAAATTAATCCTCCGTCTGAGTTATTTCTCGTAAATATTTTCGTTTTTTGATGTTTTATTTGATAACAACTACCGAAAATACCGACGCGTTTGCTTTAAGCTCCGTTTTTCTTGATTGACTGTTTATCGTCAGGTAAATACGTTTATTTTCAACAATTCACTAAAAAAAATATTACGCATAATTTATTCGCTCATATGCTTCGGTGATTATCGCGTATTAATTTTTCACCCATTTTGTTTGTTTATTCTATGTTCTGAAATAAAATATATTCAATTGGAACTTAATGCATTTTGGATGAGACATCTTTTTTCGATAATGACTTTTCATTACAATGCTGCGTATAATATTGTTCTATTTTTTTTTTTTTTTTTTTTTTTTTTTTTTTTTTTTTTATAAAAATCTCAACACGAACTTTTTTGTATTAACTTTAGTGTGGGAAAAAATTGTGTAAGATTCAGGCTGATTTTTAATATCTTGTGGCCACTATGTACCTAGTCTAACGCAGGAGCTTCGATAGATCGCGTGGATGGTTTTTTTACAACAAAACAAAACAAAAAAAGATATTTACACCAATAAACGCTTTGTGTCAACGCACAGTTTTATATCTCACTCTTCATAATTTTATCTGTATAATCTAACCACTAACAGGAGACTAATATCCGTACTTGATATTTCTTTTCCAGGTACTAAAATCAATGCGATTCATTTACAGCTAGCTTCGTTTTGACTCTTCCAAATAATTCAGTGACACCACGGCAATAGTTAATCAATAGCAATAAGCGTTAACGCTAGAAGTTCGGACCAACTTAATTTCCACAGTGCGCAAACCTTACTTACTCTCGGCTTATTTTTACATTTCGTAAGTTATCGAACTTCGAAACAATTTCCTCTTGCTTGTCGGTTGCATCGCGGCATGAAACAACAAATCTTATTTTAAATCTAATTTCAGAACAATCAGAGCAAGAACCTTGGTAATGTCTGATTTTCGAGGCAGGGCGTTCGTGCAGGGTCGTGTATCGGTCCTAGTCGTGTGCTGAAACGGATTCTGTGCTTTGGGAGTGTAAAATTTAGGGCGTGTTGGGGGTTTCTGTGGTGCGGGATCCTGCATTGATGAGTTCCCCGGATCAAACGACGGCACCTCGCTACTTGCAGAACGTGACGGCTCGACTTTCGGATCTGCACTTGGAGCACTTGGCCACCAATGGGAGTGTGCCAAACCCGGTGGTTGTCGGAGGAGAGGTGAGCACCAGTTACACCTTCATCGCCGAGAGCCAGGATTCCCGATTCCCAGCGGATTCCAGTCACATCGACTGCGACTCAATTATGAAACTGCCCGACAACGCTGAAATCGACGGGAATAAGCTCCAACTCATCCACATAACTGTGAGTAAAGTAACTATCTTTCTAAATTTGTCATCTCCTGCACGAGGGAACGTAAACTCCGCATTTCAAGGTTGCAAAATTGACTCAAACAATTCAATTTTTATCAAAAAGAACCGCGTTTAGCAGAAAGGAACCAAGCCACATCAGCTATTGCCAAATCTAACCGGGCAATTTAATTTTTTAATAGAGGATTTTTGTGCGGATTCTTTTGAAAATTTCAAGGAATTTTCTTCGTACTATGCATAAAATTAACTGAAATCGGCAAAAAAATCTGCAAAACAGTTTTCAAGTAAAAACTTAAATTGCCCGATTAAATCTGGCAATTACTGATGTGGCTTGGTTCCTTTCTGCTTGTAACGCGGTCCAAATAATCCTGTGCAATTTTTGTCAAAAATTTTTCTGGTTTTCGCATAAGATCAGAAAAATAATCAGCAAAATTTTCAGTCAGAAATACCCGAAATTCTCGGTAAACATGCAATTCGCCAGGGGAAATTTGGCAACATTGAAATGTAATTACGCTCTTCCGTGAGGGAACGATGAATTGGACAAATGGAGAATTTGCACGGAAATTTTTTATCGATTTTATCTAAGAGTTTTCATAGAGCTAATTCTGCAATATCTTTATAATTTTTTTCTGATACAGGAAATAGTAACATAGATTTAAAAAAGAGAAAATGCACCAACGAGTATAACGTTATACGGCGGCATACATTTAAAACAGCAGATTAAATCATGCATTTTCTCTTCTGTCCTCCAATAATCGTTCAATTTATGAATCAAAGCAATGGTATCCTCGTGTTCAGTTTGGGTAGTTTCCTCTTTAACATGAAATTTGTCATATTTCAGACACCTGCAAATTCTCCATTAACCAAAATCAGTCTGACTACATCTTAAAAATTCCATAATTTCCGTAAAAAAAGGTAAAAAACTCCAAGCATTTGACATGAAATTGTGTGAGTATATTCCTTGTGATCTCATAATATCCTAAGAGAGTTTGTAGGCGCCACGGTTTTCAGTTTTCTGTTGAAAAATTAAACAAGAAATTTCAGTAAAACTTTAAAAGTGTTATGTGTAAAAAAGTAAGGTGGAAATGTAGTCGAAATTACTTGCCACAAACTAATCAGGCAATTTTTCGAATGCTCTGGCAGGTATAGTCAACTTTTGAAGACCTGCCGAGTTTTTCGCATTTTTGATGCAGATTGCCATGTGTTTCAGCATTTGGGGTTTAGAAATAATGAGTTGAAATGTCAATTTTTATAAATCTAACAACGCGGACTTTATTATTTACGTCCCGAAGTTGTTCCCGGCGTTCGCGAGTGGGCTCAAAAATTATACCTAGACTTTAAAATGCAGGGAGTGGAAAAGTAATCGTTTTCCGGACAAATCCACGTAACTGCAAGTCACTTTAAAGTTTCCGCACTCACAATGCAGTATGCGTGCATTGTATTCTCACCAGGGAGCTTTTGGGCTCTACGACTTAAATTTGCACTGATCGATCTCCTTATCGCAAGCAAAAATCAGAAAAATTGATATTGAAAATTCAATTGTTCGAGAAAAGTTCGCAACCTTGGAATGTAGTTCCACTATTCCTTCGTCCAGAAAACGACGAGTTATACCCTCTTCCCCAAATGGCACCCCAGGACGCATAACTTAGTACTTTGCTGAGAGAAAAAGAAGGTTTACGTTTACGTATATCTATTTCACCTTTTTCGTGGGTTCATACGGAGGTATTTTGTCTATTCGGCACATAGGTACTCGGTTTTAATTGAAATTGACATGCATACCTATAGTACTGGCTTAAAAGTTCTCATGCTGATGTAAATCGTCCACTTCGATGCGTCATCTGTATTTCCAAAGCTGAGTCAGCGAATTACGTGCGGAGTCATGGAGTAAGGCTATACCTACTCAGAATTAGTGACAATTCATGAAAGTTGACAACACTGTTTTTCTTCCATTTAAATTCATGTGAAACAATCGATTCGAGGTGAGATAGGCTGCTTCACCAAAAAGCAATCACTGAAAAATAAATCTCGGTGTGTTTACTAAGAAAAGGGTAAAATTGCCAAGAATTCAGGGTTCTATTTGATCCAAGTTTTTTCTTTGTAAATTTACCATTTATGGAATTGGTAATTTTACCGATAAATCTCGGTAAAATCATTGAACTTTCTCTGTAATTTTACTGGACCTTTGTAAAAACGCCAATATTTTTTATCGACTGTGGTAGAATTACCGAGATAAAATGGAAAAGTTGCCGGGAATTGATTACCAATAAAAGTGGTATTCTTACCTGAAAAAAAAACAGTAAAAATACCAGTTTTTAGGTAAGCTTACCCGTCTGTCTTGGTAAAATTACCAATAATTGGTAAAAAAAAAAGTGAGATGGTAAAGGTACCAACGGACCTTGGTAAAAACGCCGAGAATTTTTTTTCAGTGATGTTAATAAAATAAAAGCAGTGTCGCAAATCGCCACGGCTCTGGGAGTGTTCTAAATCACAGTGCCTATTGTAGAATTTTTTTTCAACTTTAACTAGGTTCAAGTTCAAAAGCATTAATTAATGAAAATTTTAAGAAAATTTACGGTGATCCAGTAAGCGCGTACCTTGGGAAAACCGCACCGAGCTGATGAAAAACTCCGTGATAAACATTCGTTGGTATCGGTGAATTTCTTTTAATAAAATATGAATTTTCTAGAAAATTTGGATATAATTTGGTTGGAAGGAGATAATTTTAGTCACATAGTTTAATCTCGTGTATCTGAAAATTTTCACTAAAAATATATTCAGGATAATATTTCTGAAAATTAAATATATTTCATCGAGGGGATTTTGAAAGTACTCAGACTTTCTTACGACTTTTTCCTCAACACGGCAGAATTGCAATTGCCGATCCAATGAGATATAAATAATTTTTGAATAAAAAAAAAACCATCTTGCTTCCATCATTAATTTTTACTTCATGCGTGAAATGAAACAAAGGAGAGAGCTTTTTAAAGTAAGGACCTTCAGAATAGGTGGAGACGCCTCATGAAGGGGTTATGGGGGTACTAAAAATATGTCACCAAGGGAGATCTCTCAGACTCACGCATCTTCAAAAGTGGGTTTCGGGGACTTTATTTAGCTCCATAGAGAGGGTTCGTGGGGACCACCCCAAAAAATTTTGGGAAAATTGAATCATCTCAGGAAAAATTTTGAACTGTTTTCACCAACATTTTGTTTCGAGAGATGAAAAATATGTCACGCCATTACATAGAAAAATCGCTCATATTTCCTGAGAGGGGCTAAGTAAATCTTTGGGGGGTAGGCCCCCGAACCCCTCCAGCACTCTGAACTTTTGGAACTGTATAGGTTTCCAGGAATCCAACGCTCTCTACAAAACAGATATCCAAAATGCTTAGAATAACTGAGCGATAAATTTCAAATAATCCATTAAGTATTGATCATCATGAGACTTGTTTGTATTTATTGGAGTATTCCCCTCGTTACAATCGTACTGTTACTGACGAATATATACAGTGGCGTAACGGACTTCCGCTGGGCCCCCCTGCAAAATTTTTTCTAGGGGCCTCCTAAGTCGATAAAATTCCAAAATTATCCCCCTCTCTCCCTTCCTCACCCCTTCCCGTTTTTTCTCGTATGGTCTAGGCCCGCAGCCCGAAAATTTTTGAGAAAATCAGCCTTAACCACTAAAAAATCAAAGTGGCAGCAGCTTATATCTTTTTACCTTTAGGTATGGTATGTGCAGGATTTAGCCTTCTTTTACTTTATGTTCTGAGGTGGAATTTGATTCACTTGCATGTTTGCGCAAATAAATATATTTAAAAAAAATAAAAACGTAAAAGTACCCGATTAAATGGAGCCCCTAAAAGATCAATGATCTAAAGGAAGGCGGGGGCTCAGCCCAGGCCCATGAATCAAAGGGCCCCCAAGGCTTTTAGATTCTTGGGCCTCCCAAAACCCGAAATACGAAAAGTGGAATCATTGAGTGGACATGGGAAGGCAGGGGCCCTCCAGCAAACAAAAAGTTAGGAACAGTCCAAGAAAAGTATGAAAAACCCCGAGCTAACAATAAAAATCAAAGGAAGAAGCCCCATCTCGATAAGTAAAGGCCCAAAGTTTGAAACCAAAGCTGAGGATCAAAGAGAGAGAGAGAAAAAAATTCCGGCGGCCGAGGGCCCCCTAGGCGCCAGGGCCCCCCTGCATAGCAGGGTCTGCGGGGGCGCCCGTTACGCCACTGAATATATAGCTGAATTTCAAGTATAAGACAAATACACGATGGCTTGGAGCCAAAACTGAGACAATTACATCAACAACATCTAAAGCTTTTACAATTAGGTAAGAAATTGGCACGAGCTGGTGAGCTATTTCATTGCACGGAGACAGTATCTCCACTCACATGAAAAAAAATCTTACAACCGAATCAGTAACAACGAGAGGAGTAAAATTTTTGGCTTCATTCATCGGTCTCACGGCGGAAGTACAGCACACGTATCGTAAAATAAGTAGTCCATTCCTAGCTGCATGGTTACAACTTGTTAGTAACTCTGTTGGCTACGGGCAACTTATGTTGCATTATCAGTAAGTAAATAAAAAAATTGAATACGAGTTCAAAAAGAGGATGTAAATAATTGGAATAATTCAATTCAAAATTAAGTTTTCCCGGAAATTGATTATTTATAAACTTATTTCTCTTATAATTAGGGGCGCAAAGTGCCAAGGAGGTTAGGCCGCAATGCGGTCAAAGGTTGCAGCATGCAGCCCCCTAGTTTGAAAAAATCACTAGAAATTGAAAATTTTGAGGATTTCATACGCAAATAAAAGTTGTACTCCATTTGAAAATGTGTAATCATTCAAAGAGTTCTGTCGAGGCATCATATGGATCGAATGCGATTAGTTTAAGAATTAGGTCAGAATCTAGAGCACGAGCCCAGTTTGTATTCCTCATACATAGAATCGAGTGGAGAAATTGGACATCCGCGGCAGAATTTGAGACGATGATGCGTG